CATGGAATACTATGAGAAATTTCTTCATTTTAAATTCACAAGACAAGCCTTTGAGACCGACTGTCCTGATTTAAATCTTACTTTGTCATCTTTTGGTCTTGAGTAGTTGGCCTAATCTTTTAGCCTCATTTTCTAAATGATTGACAACAGTTCCTGTCTCTGAGATTATAAGGATTGAGCTAAATATATATTTATGGCATCTTGTATTCCCTATCTTGACTCCTTTTCTTTAAAGAAACTAAGAACCCTTTTTATGCCTGAGACCTTGCCTGAAACAGTCTTTAGGTCCTTACAAACAGCCCTGAGCCCTTTTACAAGGCATTTTCCAAGGCTACTCTGTTGGAGCAAAATCTCTTAAGCCAGAGAATGTCCAGAAAAACAGATAAATGTGGGGTGGTAGAGCAAATAAATGGAAATTGGATGTTTGAGCAGAGGATCCACAAATTTGTGGGTTAGCCCCCTCGTGGTTGGGATCTCAGAGAGTAGGTGAGACCAGAAAGGAGACAGCCTGGAGGCTTGGAGCCATAGTTCATATCTAAAATTCAACAAGTTCAACAATGCTAAATTGGAATTTGTTCATACAAGCCAACCCAGGTTCGATTCCTCTGCCCCTCTTGGAAAGCCCAGCAAGCTACCGAGAATATCTCGCCCACACAGTAAAGTCTGGCAAGCTGCCCATGACATATTCGATATGCCAAACACAGTAACGAGTGTCACAATGGAGACGTTACTGGGCCCACTCAAGCAAATCGATGAACAACGGGAGGACAGTGACAGTGAAGTTGATGTGAATCTTGGTTTGACAAAATTATATGGCTTATTTAATATTTTTTTTTCGCCCCCCAATATGACCTCCCTTAGTTTTCTTGCCCTACCCTCAAAAGTGTTCTGGATAAAACTGGTACCAGAAAGCATTCACATGTCAACTTGTTACTGCACTTACATAACTAAAAGAAAATGACTCTTCTCACAAAAGTAGCAAAATGAAGCCTTGCCTTTCCCATGAGAGAGAGAGAGAGAGAGAGAGAGAGAGAGAGAGAGAGAGAGAGAGAGAGAGAGAACAGCCTACCAGGAGAAGACCGAGCTGCAAGGCTTGGAGATGTCTAAAGACCCAGCAGAGAGGTCAAGGCACTTTTCAGTTGACTGAGTACCACAGAGAGGTAAACAAAGCTCTCTGCAAAAGTCAGCTAACAGAGATTCCACACTAAACTTGAACTCAGCATCTACAAACATAAAGAATCAGAACTCCCAGGTAAGGCTCTGCAACAGAAAAGCCAGGCTGGCAAAACAGTCACGCAGGGAGGGGTTGAAAACTGGAGAAGAGGCAGCAGCAGAGCGGGTGCCAGAAGAGGAATCCAGAGCGCAGCAAAGCATGGATTGTTGTCTTAGTTCCAGGCAAAGTGAAGGGTGAGAGTCACTTAAGAAAGAAAATGCTTGAAGTTGGACCAGAGTTTACCATCTTTCACCAATCCATTTGGATAATGCTGGAGAATGTGGGTCCTAACATTTGGAGCAGATCCCTCCAATACTTTTTACAAATTCCTGAATTAATAAAATTTAATAACTTAAAACCTGTTCCAAAGGTATAAATTTGATTCATTCTTTTATTGTCTTTTTTATTAGTGAGACACCATGAGGTACAGTTGTAGACTTACAGATTTTTGTGCGTGGGTTTCAATTATATAATGATCAAATACCCATCCCTCCACCAGTGCCCATTTTCCACCACCATGGATCCCAGTATCCCTCTCACCCTCATCCCCCCCATCCCACTCTGCCTCTGTGGCAGGGCATTCCCTTTTGTTCTCTCTCTCCTTTTGGGTGTTGTGGTTTGGAAAAGAGGCATTGAGTGGCAATCATGTTTGGTCTATGGTCTACTTTCAGCATGCTTCTCCTATCCTGGGAGGAGGATCCTCCCAACACCCTTTATTTGGTGCTCCTTTCTCTATCTGAGCTTCCTTTCCCCCTAGCATGAGGGAGTGGGATTGGGGCCATACCCATTATGTTTTTTGTTGTTGTTGTTGTTTTGTTTTTTATTTTTATTAGTGAGACACCATGAGGTACAGTTGTAGACTTACAAATTTTGTGCTTGGGTTTCAATTATACAATGATCAAATACCCATCCCTCCACCAGTGCCCATTTCCCACCACCACGGATCCCAGTATCCCTCCCACCCTGCCTCTGTGGCAGGGCATTCCTCTCTGGACACCCATTATGTTTTGAGCTTGAGGGACCATATTGGGTGCAAGGGATTGAACCTGGGCCAGCAGCATGCCAAGCAAGTACTATCTCTCCAGTCAGTCCCCTGAAGAGATAGTACTCACTGTACCATATTATTAGTCCCCATTGACTAATTCTTTATATGTTCCACTTAGAAAAATTTAAAATGAATCAAATATAAATGTAAAAATAAAACCATCAAGCTCTAAAACAAAACCCATAGGTTAATTCATCAATAATCTAGAAAGATATTTCTAACTAGGATGTAAAGTACAGAAGCATTATGGACAAAAGTTGATAAAAATTCAATTATCAAGAAATTATCATTTGAATGGAGAGAATATCATTAGAAGTGGGGGGAATTATTAACTGGGGCAAATGTTTATAATCAATATGTATCAGATATACATGTTGATACATATACATATTGATACTCATATTTCAAGTAAACATCTCTGATACATGAGTTTCTTTGAAAAAATAAGAATATGACTGAGAGATAGCAATAGGTAAGGCACTTGCCCTGCTGGAAGCCCACCCAGATTCAAATCTCCAGCACCCACATATGGTCCCTTGAGCAGTGCCAGGTGTCACTCCAGAGCAAGAAAACCAGGAAAAGCCCTTGAGCATCTCAGATTATGACCTAATCCTCCCACCCCAATAGAGCAATAACTCTATGAAAAATATAAATAGGCAGTTAACAAAATAGGTTATATGAGTGGCCTTTAATCATATTTTTTGAAAAAAAAAAGGTTCAAAATTTTAAAAATGCAAATTGAAATTATCCCGAGTTTAAACACAGAAAATTTCCCACAGATATACTGAAAGACAAAAAAATATAAAAAGGATATGTCTCTGGAGAAAGTTTAGCTTTGAACAAATATTTTCTGTGATCATATTGGTGCATAATAAATTGTACTGCTGTAACGCAGTCAACAAAATTCAAACTCGGGAATTTCAGATGACAATCTGATTTTAGTATTTTTAATAAAATAAAACTATAATAAAAAAGTGAGCCACCAAGGGGAAACTACAAGACACTTGAGAGACACACCAATATATACTCATGGAGTATTATGAATTTTAGGAGTTATAGAGGTTTGATGAGTGTGCTTTTCACTTTTTTATTATTATGGGTGAACTTCTGGCAGTACAGGGGGCATGTAATACCAGGGATGAGAGGTTTAGAGCCAGATATATAGATCCTGCCACTGATGGTTTTTAAAAAAAGAATTCTTATTAGAGATACAAGCAGAAGCATCTACATATGAAAAAGCTTTGAGGTCTGAATTGGTATAATTTGCTTAAGGAGATAACATGAAGAGAGTAGGATTTAAATTATATCAAATTAGCCCTGAGTTGAATATTAGTGAACTGGGTAATCAATACAGCTAAGTTCACTATACTGTTATACTTTTTCTTTTTTCTCTAAGGGCCACATCCGGCAGTGCTCAATGGCTACTCCCAGGGTACTTATTGCTTGGGGTTACTTTCTAGCAGTGCTTAGCGAACCATGTTGCTGGGAATGGGACCTCGACCTCCCCAGTGCAAACATACACACTAGCCCTTTGAACCATATCCCAGCCTCTTCTCTTGTATAACTTAAATTGCTTTCAATATTGTTAAAGCTAGGATTTTCTATTTGGGGGTAAGCTTCATTTTTTTGGCCACACCTCTGGTGGTCAGAGGTTACTCCTGGCAGTGCTTGGGGACCATATACAGGTGCCAATAGATCAGGGGTCAGCAGAATATAATACTACTCTCTGGCCCCAGAGCCAGGATTCTGGACAAAGTCTATACTCTAGCTATTAGTGTCAAGATTCTAAATTGGGGACTGGGGAGAGGGCTGGAGTACACGGGTCACTCCTGGTGGTGCCGGAGTAGTGCCTGGGTGTTGCTGGAAACAAACAAATGGAAAAAATATTCTATGCTGCATAATCACTAAACAGCAACCACTACAGAACTTTATCTTGGGTTCAATTCTATCTGAAGGTGTTTATTCATTATCCTCTGCACAGTACTTTTAATTACAGCTTTATTAAAATGAGTCAAGTAAAATCTTGGCTTAATACTTCCTCCCATGAGCTAAGGATTTTGGTTCCGGAGGCAGATGCCAATAATTAACCGTGTGTATTTGAGAACATTGGCAAGTTATTGAGATAACAATAATGCCCTTTTATTAAGTATATTGTGAAACTCCAAGAAACAAGCTAATGTATACAAAATGTTTAGCATGCTTAGAACAGAATACACTCAAAATATTATTTTTAATAATGACTCATCACAATACTTGAAATTTTCTCCAATAAAATCACCCAAAGAATTGAAACAAGGTATTAAATCATGCACCTATTGATGTGTCTGAGTTACCACTATACTACTACTATGCATACTGCTAGTAATGAAGTTACTCTCCATTCTCTGGATAAAAGTTTCCTGACAAATTCTAGATTTAGGGGTCTGAAACCGACACTTCCTCAAATAAAAATTTCTCATAGTAACATTGTTTAAAAGCAAAAACATTGAAGAGCTAAATATTATTGACATATTTAAATCGCTGGCATTATATATATGCCGAAAAATTTTCAAAATTGCACACAAAGGCACAGCAGTATGTCAGCAAATGAATAACAACACAAATGCTCCAGAATCAAGTATCTGTAACCTGGAGAGAGGAAAATTAAAGCAACATTTATTATGCAAATATATGAATTTCTGAAAACATTTTTAAGATGGGGAGAAGACTAAACACTGACTTGTGAACTCTGCAGTTAAATATTTAATTCCCCACATTGGTAAGGTTGTCAATTTCACTGATGAAATGTGAACGATCTGAAAAGGGTAGTCACAGAGTCAGGGGAACAAGGATAAAAGCAAGATCTGGGATCTGGTCCAATCACATCTCTGTGGCTTTGAACAAGACACCCAATCTTTTCAGGTCTTGGTTTACTCAAGTGTTAAATGAAGGGTTCGAACCTTCCCACCTCTGAAACAATTATAGTTGGACCGAGAGAGGCAGCTCAATAGGCTGGAGAAAGTGCTTCATGTATAGGAGGCACAGGCTGGATCCTGGCACCCGTGGTTCCTCCAAACACCATGAGTAGCCACCCACAAACCCAGCGGGAAATGGCTCCCAGGCACCACCAAGGAAGAAAGGGAGAGAGGGAGGGAGAGTGAGACAGAGGAAGGGAGGGGGGAAATGTTATGGTTAATTACAGCATTAGTTTATTACTGGCAATATATATCTCAGGAAGCAATATAATTCAAACATACAACATTCAATGAAATCCTACTGAGAGGCAAAAACAAGGTAGACCCAATACCAAAAGGGAGGATTTCAATAAGAAAGCAAATATCTTCTTAGGTTGCTACAAAGTGCACTGTAAAATTGTTTTTTTTTTTTTTTTTGTGAAATTGTTTTTTATCTCTGCGTTTAGTTCCTTGTGCCTTACAACTTTTTTTTCAAGGTCTTTAACAATTTTATTTATTTATTTTTTAAATTTTATTAGTGAAACACTGTGAGGTACAGTTGTAGACTTACAAATTTTTGTGCTTGGATTTCAATTATACAGTGATCAAATACCCATCCCTCCACCAGTGCCCATTTTCCACCACTTTTGAAGGAAGTCGGGAAGGTACTAAAACTTGACAAGTAAAGGTGAAGCTGTTCATAGTTCTCCCTCAAGAGGGCAATACAGGATATCCCATGTTCCTTTTAAATGAGAAGGAAAATAATTTTTCTTTATTGAATTTTTTCCTTACTGAATTTAAAAGGAAATGGGTGTGCAAATAAATAGCTTCAAGATTACATATTTCAAGACATCTGTTAGTTTCACGGGTAGACTATTGAAATGTCTGATTTGCTTTGTAAAAAGTAGCAATAAAAAAGGGAAGGGGCAGACGAGTGGAAAGAAAACTGGGGTAATAGATGATATATTGAGGCAGGTATGTAAAAAGTCTTTAGGGCCCTAGCATTGGTTACTATTGGTTACTAACTATTGGTTACTATTGGTAATGCCCAGGTTTGTTTGTCTGTTCATGACAGTCACTGTTTTAATAAAGATCTGAAATCACTGGGGTGTTCTGGCTGTATCAGCTTCATCATTTACCAAACTTGTGGTTCTTGGGATATGCAAACCTATTTATGTTGGTTTCCACATATTTAAAATGGGGTGATGATTACTGAGACTAAGCATACAATATAGGAGCCTCGCAAAGATCGCACATTGAAAAAAATTAGTAATTATCACACCATCATTATGGCCATGCCTACTCTAAGGAGGTTCTTTAATGATTCTTGAATACTACTTTCACCATAATTTAGGGACAAACATGGTTCTAAAAACTGGGTAATGTCATACAAGGGAGAAATACTCTCAGAGCTGAACAGTAAAATCTTAACATATTTGATATATTGCCTAAAACGTCAAATGGTTCAGTTTTCCCAAATCAATTTGTTCTATTTGTTATTTACAGCTTTTAATAAACTGAAATTTATACAAAGTAAATTTATAGAAAGCTTGGTATCCTTAGTTCTCTGTTGTCGGAGTACAAGGGTTTGCTTTCATTTGACATTATCTATTCCTTTCCTTTGCTTTTTCACATACCACATCACATAAATGGCATTATCTTTCCTTTCCCACATTTTATGTTTTTCATGTCTTTCTGCTTCTGAATCGGATGTCCTTGCCTTTTTATAGACCATTTAGTAATTCTTGCAGAGCTGGTTTAGAGGCAATGAATGTCTACCTGTTGTTCAAAAATCTTTCCATCACTACTTCAATTCTGAATGATAAACTAGCAGAACTGAGGATCTTGGGTGGAGTTTTTTTTTTTTTCATTCACTACTGGGTCCATCATACCATTCCTTGCTGTAGAGTTTCATTTGAGAAACCTAGTATCAGCCTTACCGGAGTTCCTTTTTCCCATGTCCGCTTTTCTCTTGCTGCTCTTATGAATTGCTAAAATTCTTCACATTGGGTATTGCCATTTTGACTACACCATGTCTTGGGGGGGGGGGTGTCTATTTAGATTTATTTTCCTTGAAACTGTTTGGTATCCTGGATTAGGCATATGTCTAACCTCAGACTAGGGAAATCCTCAGCTAATATTTCTTCCACCATTAATTCTTTTCCTTTGTGTGTTTCTTCTCCTCAGGAATCCATATGTTGCAAATGTTGTTTCTCTTTGGCTGTTCTAAAAATCTCTTTTGCTGTCTTCATTAATTTTTTTGCTTAGGGTTTATTCCTGGTTCTGCATCCAGGGATAACTCCTGCTGTGGCTTGGGGTACCTATATGTGCCTAGGACTGAACCCAGGTCAGCTGCATGTAACCTATCTACAGTACTCTATGACTCCAATTTACAAGAATTCTTTTTTTGTTTTAATTTTCGGCCACACCTGGCAATACTCAGGTGTTATTCCTGGCTCTGCACTCAAGAATTACTTCCTCAGTGCCTGGGGGGACCATATGAGACACCGGGGATCAAACCCAGGCCAGCCATGTGCAGAGCAAACGCTCTGTACTATTATTCTGGCCCCTGCTTAAAAATTTATTCTTATTTCTCCAACATCTTTTGGCTATATGGGGCCTTTTATTGATTCCATATTTAGTATATTCAATTTCTTTAAAAAATGCTATTGTAGCTTTGATAGGAAATACACTGACTCTGTATAGCCAACCATAAAGTATTTCCAACTAAATATCCAATGAATATGTCTGTCAGGATAACATCTGCCAATTCACACATATAATTCTCTCTTTTGGAGGCAAACAATGAAAATATTTTTATACTGTTCTGAGAAATTCTACATTAATAAAAACAAAACCCATCTGGATGAAATGCAGAATGACTAGGAAAATAAAAAGCATTCAGATGCACATCAAAGGCACAGTGCACTCCACATAACAATGCCCACTCTATTGTTTCACTGAACATGTTTTAGGCAAACTTAAAGGATAAAATTAACAATGTAAAGTAAAACTAAGTGAACCCCCTATTTTCTACCATCTATGTGTCAAGCAGAAAAAGTTCTGCTTTAACTTAACGAGGAAAGAACTATTATAATAAAAACATGTCTGAGAGTATATGGACAGACAATAAAGACAGAGGGCAGATAATAACAAAAAAAAGCAACAATAAATGTTGATAGTTCCGCCATGACATCAACATTGTGCAACAGGTCCCTGTGTTTATCCCTCATTCCCCAAAAGGAACCACTGAGAACAAGACAGCAGGGAGTATGCTTCACCTAGGGTGGGCTGAGATGCTCTTGAAGCCAGCTTGAGGAGAGACTGCTGTCAGAAGCTATAAGAAGTACATTCACTTGGACCAAACTGTCCCTCTGTAGAGAAGTTTATGCAGTGTAAATAGCATCTCCAGTGCTGAAGAAAACCCAGAGGCGGGGGAACGGTAGAGAGGAAGCCTCTAGTGAGTGTTGGGCACTGCCCAGGCAAATCTCAATTCTGATCCTACCCACAGGGGTTTCTGGGGAATTGTGAGCTGAACCACCAGGAATATGACTGAGACGAAGAAGGGAGAAGGATCTTGGTAGAACAGAACTTTATGCCACAAGTTCCGAGCAATCATACCACAAGCAGCTAAGATTTTCTGTACAGCCCATTGGGGGCATACTCTCGAACCAGACAACCTGAAAAAGAAGGATCTACATGATTCAGATCCTCCAAGTAGCACTTTGCCTTAAATTGAGGATCACCTATGCCCCAAAAGGAGGCTAAGACACAGCTCACCCACAGTGAATGGTGCCTTCTAGCTCACCTGACCTGAAGGGCTGCCCATGAGTTGAGGGACTGATACACCCAGCAGTACATGCACCATGGGAAGAGTAGGCAAAGCCAGGAATTCCCTGAACAAAACCAGTGACTTATAGCTAACTTATAGCCATATCTAATGTTGAATATCCAGTTTTGGCCATCTAGGAAGCCCGTCCAGAGAATACAGACAATTGTGGAGCCTACCTTACAGCTGGGGTTGGAGCGATACCATAGCAGGTAGGGCGTTTGCCTTGCACGCAGCCAACATGGCCGACCCGAGTTCGATTCCTCCGCCCCTCTCAGAGAGCCCAGCAAGCTACCGAGAGTATCTCGCCCGCATGGCAAAGCCTGGCAAGCTACCCGTGACGTATTCGATATGCCAAACACTGTAACAACAAAGTCTCATGATGGAGACGTTACTGGACCCGCTCGAAAAAATCGATGAACAACAGGAGGACCGTGACCGAGCTTATAGCCAGTCCTACACACTGAATATGTACATGAGCCAGGCCTAGATGCTAAGTGTGTGCATGAGCCAGACCTAGATGTTGAGTGTGTGCAAAAGCCAGGCCTAGATGCTGAGTGTGTGCACATGAGCCAACCTAGACACTGTTTACATAGTCAGGTCTAGATGCTGAGTGTGTAAACGTGCCAGCCTAGACTGAGTTTGTATGCGAGCCAGACACTGAGTGTACACAAGCCAGGCCTAGACACTGATTGTGTACACAAGAGTACACGAGCCAGGCCTAGATAATGGTCAGTGGCACAGGCCTCCATCCTCCTTGTTCATCTTCAGAATAGCTACCTTACCTAAAACAGACCATAATAGCAGGCCCCACTGACTAAAGAATATACTGAAAGGTTCACTCCAAAACCCAAACTGCACTGACTGGTGAAGAAGTGTATCTGCCCAAAACAATAAACAACAATTTTGTTGAGCCTGAAAGAAGGTCTCATTATTTGAATGTACAGATAGCAAACTAGAAATCGAGAATCAGAGAAAAGGGGCTGGAGAAATAGCACAACAGGTAGAGTGCTTGCCTTGTACATGGTTGACCTGAGTTTTATCCCTGGAACCTTATATAGTCCCCAAGCCCTGCCAGGAGTGATCCAGAGCACTGAGCAAGGAGCAAACCCTGAATCTGCCAGGTGTGGCCCAAAAGCAAAAAACCTACCAAACAAAAAGAATCAGAAAAATCAGATACATATGACCTGATAGAAACCAACAGAAACCAATAAATTTCTAAAAACTGACCCTACAAAAATTGAAATCTAAAATGGTTGAAAGGGCTGGAGGACATGCTTTCCACGTGGGAGGCCCAGGTTCAAGCCTTGGCACCACAGACCCATGAGTGCTGCCAAAAGTAACCCTTGATAAATGAGTGGGAAGTAATTTCCAAGCACTATCAGGTATGGTCCAGGGTGGGGAAAAATCTTACAAATTTATTGTCAAAGGATTCAGAATAATCCTTCATAGGATTATTAAACATAGGAAGTTTATTAAATAAAGGTAGACAAAGGGAGGGAGGGAGGGAGGGAGGGAGGGAAGGACGGAGGGAGGGAGGAAGGGGGGAGAGAGAGAGAGAGAGAGAGAGAGAGAGAGAGAGAGAGAGAGAGAGAAGAGAGAAGAGAGGAGAGAGATGGGGGCGGGAAAGAGAGGTGGGGGAAGAAGGGCGGTAGTGCTTGCCAGGAAGTTTAGTGAACTAAAAAACAAGAGAGGCAAAAAAGTATAGTCGAAGTGACATCTGCAATTGTTTGTTCATTGCAGCACTCTTCACAATAGCCAGAATCTGGAAAAAACCTGAGTGCCCGAGAACAGATGACTGGTTAAAGAAACTTTGGTACATTTACACAATGGAGTACTATGTAGCTGTTAGAAAAGATGAAGTCATAAAATTTACATACAAGTGGTACTACATGGAAAGTATGTTAAGCGAAATGACTCAGGAAGAAAGGGATAGACATAGAAAGATTGCATTTATCTGGGGAACATAAAGTAACAAAATAGGAGACTAACACCCAAGAATGGCCAAGATTAGTACCAGGAATTTTGCTCCATGGCTTGGAGGCCAGCCACACATGCTAGGGGAAAAGGGAGCTCAGATAGAGAAGGGAACACCAAATAAAGGTGTTGGGAGGATCCTCCCAGGATGGGAGAAGCATGCTAAAAGTAGACTATAGACCAAACATGATTGTCAACCATTGCCTCTTTTGCAAACCACAACACCCAATAAGAGAAAGAGAACAAAAGGGAATGCCCTGCCACAGAGGCAGGGTGGGATGGGGGGGATGGGGTGGTGGGAAGGATACAGGGATCCGTGGTGGTGGGAAATGGGCACTGGTGGAGTGATGGGTATTTGATCACTGTATAATTGAAACCCAAGCACAAAAATTTGTAATTCTACAACTGTACCTCATGATGTCTCACTAATAAAAATATAAAATAAATAAAAAAATAAATATTACTTTGAAAATTAAAAAAAAGGTAGACAAAGGCTGGGGTTAGGGTGGAGGAACCTGGGGACATTGGTGGTGGGAAATGGACACTAGTGAAAGGAAAGGTGTTGTAACATGGTATGACTGAAACCCAATCATAAACAACTTCATAACTGTGGAAAAAAAAAGATAATTGAACTTCAAAACACCAAAGTCAGAACAAAATTAAGAACATTCATGAGCAAAGTGAGAAGTGAGACAAGGAAATAGCAACCATCAAGCTAAACATCAAATCCTACAGTTCAAAGAATATAACTGAAGAATTAAGTTTCAAAAACAGATTTTACAATCCAGAAGAAAGAATTAGCAAACCATAAGAAAGGATGTTTGAAATTATCTACTCAGGGGTGCTAAAACAAACACAGAGTCTATAAGATTTATGGGATATAATAAAATGAAACTGTTCACATTTTGGGAATTTCAGAAAAGGAAATGACATCAAGTATATTTTGAAAAATTTCCCAAATGCAGGGAAACACAGATCCAGATCTATGAGACCCTCATATCTCCAAATAGGCTATCAAATTTGACTGAACTGTGACACTATAATTAAATTGTCTAGAAAAAGTAATATAAAAAGTAATGTTAGACTGTCAGTAGTGCAAAAGCCTGAGCTAAAGTGACCCTCGCACAGTCAACTTGGGTTTGATCCCTGGCACCTCATACAGTCCTGAGTCCTCCAGTAGTGAGTCCAGAGAGCAGAGCCAGGAGTATGTTCTTAGCACTGCTGGGTGTAGCCCTAAACCCAAACAAATAAAAATAGTGCAAAAACCATCTACAAATTTAAAGCAATGCTTATCAGTACCATATAGGAGCACTTTTATTTTTGGATAAACTGAAATATCAAACACTAGATTTATACTCAATATGCTTCTGTTGTTAAAATGAAGCCTAGACTAAGGCAGAGTGAGAATTCTTTCTGAAAAACCTGTGCTTGTGCGCATATCTCAGAAGGTATCAAAGGTTTAACAATAAATCCTTTTTTCAAGTGTATTTCATGTAATCTCAAAGACTGAGAACCCTGAAACAATTCTCTAGCTCTTAAGCATCTTGGAAGTGACCTCTCAACAAATGCAACCAAAAAACTGTACCATTATTCAGGATGAAATTTAAACAGAACTACATATTTTTTTTCCTAATCAAGTATTTTGTTCATATAAGCATTATTTCAACTCAATCATTTGGTGCAGTCTGATGATTACATATTGATGAATATTTTGTTATCAGTACTACTACAGGATTATAAATTAAAATACAAGTGGTCAAAATCCATGCTTTTGGTATATCTTGGTTCAATTTCTGGCAGCTATTATACCTCTAAAACAAGCAAATGCAGGCTCTATTACAGTATCTAAAAACACTACAGCTACAGTCTGTACCACATTAATGTTGATGTGAGAAGACCATGCCTACACAGTCTATGAATACATCCCAAAGCAGCTTTTTCATCTCAAAAAGTCCCATATTGAGCACAAATCCAAATCCTATAGGGGAAGACACTGTAAAGAAAGATTTATTTACTTTGCTAGATTCTAGAAATATGGGACACAGTACCAGCCTCTGAATGTCTTGGAGGAGATAAATAATAGCAAAACCCCAAATATGTTATTATTAAGTGTGATCAATAAGATCAATAAGAAGAAAGGGATACCGCATTAGAACACAGAATATTTTCTAAGAGATTTCTAGAGCTTACTAGGGGGCTCCTGTCTCTCCATGGCAGCTCCACATTCAGTACAGTAACTAGACACTTCAATTACCCTTCAACACCCATAGGATATACAGGATCATTTTCTTACACTATTGGGGGACTTGAAAGAAATTTCTCACTGTGGATTTGCCTGGTTGTGAACAGAGATTTCTACTCTTCTTGATACTCCTTTTCTCACGAGCTTTCAGTTCACTGTCACTTCACGTCAATTAAAAAACATGCAGTAATTCCTCTGTTTTAAAAAATCCTACAGTAACAAATTATGCTGGCATGTGTCTGGGTCTTGTAAAACCCAGAAGCACTTTCTTTCTTGTGAGATTTCTGAGGCATCGTAAAGGAAGAGAAAGCTTCGGATATCCCCCAATTCTGATCTACAAGACGTTTGTAACAAATGATCTTCCAAACCAGTCAATCTAGCCCGAAACACTATTTGCACCTCATATCCACCGTGGGGGAGCAGACACCATACAGTCATATACTTAGCAAGACTAAGAAAGCAGCGTTCTCTCTGGCTCACTGATTTTTCCTCTGCTTTCCATAATGAAAGTTCCTATAAACCCTCTGTGGTGAGATGAACAGGCAGAGCATCTGCCAGATGACAAACTCAAAGTCTACCTGCTGGAAATGAAATGGCCTTAAGTATTTGTAGTTTTCTGCTCCAGCTGTATCCCTGGAATTCAAAGGCCCATTCCCCTGTGTCTGCAAATTCACTGCAGTACTTGGAAACAACTTCCTAAATGGGAGGGAAAATGTCTCGACAAGTGATCTGAGGATTGTTGACAACACGCCTCACCTGAAAAATCTGGCAAGGCGGTATATCTTCCCCACTCCCAAAGTGCCGGGTATCCAAAACAGATGGAGGGGTCTGTGCAATAGTACAGCGGAGAGGGCTTTTGCCCTGCACAAAGAGGACCTGGGTTCGATCTCTAGCATCCCATATGGTCCCGAGCACCGTCAGGAGTAAGTCCTGAGTGCAGAGCCAGGAATTATCCCTGAGCATCGTCAAGAAAACAATGCCTGGGGGGGGGGGGGGGGTGTAAGCAGATGTAATTGTTTCCATGGTAAGTTTGGGGCCTTCGAGAACGGCAGACTGCACTTTGGGCAGGATAGTGGCCTCACGGCCCCTCTGGAACAGGGCAGCAACATTTGTAAAGGTTCACTTTGCTCCCTGCTCCATCAGTCCCCGAAGCAAGACAGGCTGACGACGACACTAGGGGAGGGGTGGGGCTAAGCCACCAGAGCTTGTGGGCACTGCGATAATAAAGGACTAGAATTCAAACTCCGGCACTTAATGTGGTTCAAAATGACGCGCTCTTAACCCTGGGTTGAAAGTCGCTTAGAGAAACCACGCTACCGACGACGTAAAATATTCTCCCAGGTGCAGCAGCGCCGACTCATTTACCAGAATGTGACAGAAATGCAAACCATCAAGCCCCGTGCTTTACCCGCTCGCGACAGCGGCTGAGCTCAGGGCAAGTGAGAACTCGGGACGCCCAGTTGGCTGTGAACGTCAGTGTTCGTGGAAGCACGCCTGACACACTGCGTACACGCAGACTAAAACTCTATCCGCCGTGTCTGACTTCCACTCGATTTTATCTGGTTACACAGAGGAAACGACACCCGGCAGATACCGAGCGGTACGCAAACGTGGGGCAGGTCTTCACGGCTCACCCTGAGCCCGCTGAGGCCTCCACTGGGGTCCACGTTACCCCTCCACCGGCGCTCAGCAGCCGCTGGCGCTCACTTTCGCTTCCGGCGACGAGCCCGGCGCTGCAGAAGTGACGCATCACCTGCGTCCACTTCCGCCGCGCACACAGAGGCCCTTGGGTCCGCCGGAAGTTCCTGCTGCGGATATCCGGAGTCTTTCGTGGAGGCTTCGGGTAACTGTTGGCCGCGTCGCTGCGGTGGTAGAGGAAGCGGTTCCGGGCCGCAGCGGGCGGGAGTGGCAGCTATGCCCCGTTATTACGAGGACAAGCCGGAGGAAGGCGCGTGCGCGGGCGTGAAGGAGGACCTGGGCGCCTGTCTGCTGCGGTCGGACTGCGTACTGCAGGTAGCACGGCCCAGCCCCCGGGTGGGCAGCTACAGCGGACCAGACCCAGCTGCAAGCGAGGCTTCAACCCAGTCTACGTGCCCCACTGTAAAAAGAGAGTGGATATGAAGGGACTCCTGGCAGTGCCATTCAGAATGGAGCTGGAGGAGGATGAACTAAGTTTCTTAGTGCCTGGATGCATCTTTCCACTGGGCAGTGGCAGACAGGCTGAAAGCTTGTGGAAAGATGGCATCTTGGGTTGTTTGCGGGGGAGCATCAGCTTATACAATGTTATTACACTCGTGTAGTTTGAGCCTTCTCCCCAGACTGACAAGGCTAATAATGTTCATATACTCATTTCTTTAACAGTAGTAATAATGTATGATTTTAAGCCCTTCCCCCTAAGAATTGCAAGTCATAAATGCCAAGACCTCAGGTGATTAAAAAAAAAATCAAGTTCATTCTGCTTTTTCTAGCTGCTGTTTTATATAGTTTCCAGAAATCAACCTCTGGGATCTGTGTTCTCACGCCAGCACTTCACCCTTTCCTGCCAATTAGGGAGAAAGTAAAGGTGCTTTCTCTCTGCCGGCAGCATTTTCATAAGTGCCTTTTCTACTGTATTAAAGGTTCTAACTGGAGGTTTTGGCGGTACAATTAGTACATCCAGTATATCCAGTGTACTGAGGGGCTTCTCCTGGCTCTTGCTTGGGACCATAACTGGTTTGGGAATTCTAACCAATGTCGCCTCGATGAAGCAGCGAGTACCTGACGTGTTGTACTAGCTCTCTGACCCACCCCCGAAGAAACTGTCTTAACAAAAAGTTATTTTGTACTTATGAGACCATTTCCCAGGTATTTACATCATTTTCCATGTCTTGTCTAGGAAGGAAAATCCCCTCGGCAGTGTTTGAAAGAAGGAAACTGCAAAGCTTTGAAATACTCCTTTTTTGAATGTAAAAGATCAATGGTAAGTAGTTAAATATTTTTAAAAACATGCAAAAAATGCTATGTAGATAGAACTCATTGTTTGCAACTTAATTCTAAGTAGAAGCTGCAGTGGTATCAGTGGGGAAAATGGATGTAGACAATATAAATTATTGAAGTGAGTTCATAGAAGGTGGCATTCAGAGGTAATTTTCATGTGGCTCTGCCTCTTCTCTGACACAGCTCTTGATCTTCACAAATCTAGCAAAGTATTAGGATGAAGTCTTCTAGTAAAAGAGGCAAAAGTTAATGCTGCTCATTGTGATTTATGTCATTTTTCAAATAACAAACCGGGATGTGGGGACTGAGAAAGATAAGTGATGCCAGACATAAAGGTGTGATTAGGAGAAAAAGCAGTAGATAGAGAGCATAAGGGGACATTATAAATCTGAGCTTCCACTCATTTTCATTAAAAAAAAAATATGGCCTCCTGAGCTGTACAAAGAGCGACCACTTAGCACAGAGCCAGGAGAAAGCCTTGAGCACCACCAGGTGTGGCCAAAAATAAATATAAATTTAAAACCTACAGAGATGGGCTTTTGTTTGTTTACAACCTGCTTTGTATATCCCTTCAGGATACTTCTTTTTGGGGTCATACCTGGCTGTGCTTAGGGCTTACACGTGGTTCTGTTCAGGGATCATTCTGGGCACACAACATTTATGATGGGAAACCAAAGAACTTGAGCTTATTTGCTAACAGATCAGATCCAAGGTAGTGTAAAGTGAGACTTGGTTTTGCTCTCTTTTCTTTCTTGAGTCACAGTTCTTTGCTATATTTTCCTGTCATTTAATGTTTTTAAAAAAGAATTTTTTGGGCCTGGAGAGATAATTGAGTCCATGTGCTTGCCTTGCACATGCACGTGGCTGACTTGCATGTGACCTTGCACATAGGCTCCATCCCCAGCACCACCACATATGGTCCCCTGTCCCTTCCAGGAGTGATCCCTGAACTCAGAGCCAAGAGTAAACCCTGAGCACTACTGGATGTGGCACCAAAATAAAAAACCCAGAATATTAGAACAAATAATTTTAAATGTTGCGTGCAAGAAGATGAACATTTTATGTTTAGTTCTAAGAATATGATAAATATAATTTGAATTCTACTTGAAAAGACTTTTATTATAACCTTAAAGTGAAATTTGTTTTTAATAGCATTTTTTTTTTCTTGGCAATGCTGCCATTTGCCAGTTTGATTGCTCTGGGAACTATCTCACCACATTTGTGTGGTGATATCCCATACCCGAGATATTTTTAAGTAGTTATGTTATCCAAAATTTTATTTCATCATACATTTATTTTCAGTTGGATGCCAGATCAAGATTCAGAGGAAGAAAAGGATATTGATTCTGTTATGCTGAAACCAAAATAAAATCAACAAAGGATTTTCTCTAGTCTATAGAGTCCAATGTAAGAAATGTTTGCTGTTGTGGCCAGAGCAAAAGTACAGCGGGTAGAGTGTTTACCTTGCAAGTGACCAACCTGGGTTTGATCCCCGGCATCACATATGGTCCCTCAAACATCAACAGGAGTAATTCCTGAGTTCAGAGCCAGGAGTAACACCTGAACACCACTGGGCATGGCCCAAAAAGGAAAATAAATAAAGATGGAAGAGCTATTAAAAAAATTGCTTGCTGTATCAGTTGGATCTTTTTTTCTGCTCCATTGGACCCTGAAGAAAGTAGATGAATTCTATTTTTGATAGCAGTTTTTAATTGAACAATTATGGGCTGGAAGCATAATAAATGTATTTTGAGAATTGTTCTAAAGCACAAAGAATAGATAATGATTGTTTTCAATCTTGAATCTTGACTGAATGACACAATTTGTATATCTTCTGTAAGTGTGAACTGAGAAGACATTTGGAACAGTTGTAATCCATAACTTGGGGAGTCTGGTGAGCAAATATTTGTTGTGGGACTAGAGAGATAGTATAGTAGGTTGAAGCTGGTCTTGCAACGTTTCATGCCCTAACACCATACGTGGTCCTCAGGACCCCACCAGAAATGCTCCCTGAGCAGAGTCAGGAGTAGGCTCTGAACACCACCAGCTGTGGCCCCAAACAAAAAATATAATAGTTAATACTCACTTGCTAAATCTCAGCCCAGATTGGGAGTGGGGGCTTATATAATTCATGGAATCAGGCAAGATCAAGTTTAATGTTCTTGTCAGTTGTTTATTGGTCATTCTGAAGACTAGCACATTTACAGCATACATGGCTTCAATGAGCTAAGAATATATAAAACAGTAACTATATGTTTACATATATTAATACTGCCCCAACAAATAAATAAAAGTACTTTAATGCACTAAGCTTGGTGAATACATTTGTGTAGGGACAAAACTATTATACAATTTTTATACATTTTAAACGGAACCAAAGGCAACTGTGCTGCAGGTGCTTTGACAGAATCCACATCACATCACAGGGTTACAGTCTGTCCCAACATTTCTTTTTAAATGGGAGCCCAACAAGGAAAAGAACCTCTATCTTGTGGCAACCTGTGAAACTGCCTTGGCAACCGAAATTTCCAAACCCCAACATTAGCTCAGGAGCTGCTGGCCATGGCCACTGCCACATGTCCTTCCATTAGCCGGCCACTGTGAACAGGCAGCCTGGCAGGAATGCTTGTGAGAATGCTGAAACCTGAAAACTTCTACATGATTAGCCAAGTCTTAGAGTTTTCTGTTGACCTAAAACTTGAGGCTAAAATTATGAAAATAATGCAATAATGGTGCCACATGCAAGACTTCTCACAGGAGACTCCACATTTGCTATATTCCCTTTTGATTAAATGCAGATTATTTAATGCACTTTAGACCAAAAATAAATTATGAAAACCATCAGGGTAACATTTAAGCTAAAAAGACATAATTTTTTTAAAAAGGTAGTGATGTTCAATAAGAAAGTATTGAATTACATAGATACTAGGGAAAAAAAAAATCACAAAATGGTGGAGAGGTAAAAGACCAAGTTAGACAGCTTAGAAACTAAGAGTCTCTGAGCAGAGACAGAGCCACCAGGAGACTGTGCCAGCAGCTGCCATTACTGCCACAATGGTTTTGCTGGCATTTCTCTGCCCCCTTCCTCAAGAGCAGCATTTCCCAGCCCTTCCCTTCTATGCTTCCCGTCCTACTCGTTGGTCATGCCGTGGCACTCCACTGATAGGACTTTCTCCAGTGGTCTCCCTAGGCTAGTCCAGAAGCCCACATAGAGCCCTTGCTGAGAAATTCTGCTCTGTACTGAGCACAGGTTTGCCAGGGAGCTAGGGAAGCACGATTCCCACTGGTGGCTCACGCTCAGCCTGTGGGAACTGCCCCGCTGAGGATTCTGGGAGAGAGTGGCTTGGTCTACATTGACTTCTGCATTGGCAGAGTGATCTGGAAGTTCATTTGATCCATCCTTTCCCAGGACCTGCTCCCTTTGCGGTCCTGCCAAAGGATGGGCCTGCCTATGGCTCAGCTCCCCAGGTCCAATCTCTTACACATTCCTGAGTGGCATTTATAAAGGAACCCAAAGAATAATATCTAAACTGTTATGATACAGAATTTCCCCCCAAGGGGTCACAATTCATTAGGATCAGCATCATGAAGAGGTGCCACATATATTTCTTTTTACAGCCTTTTAAATAACATGTAAACAGCATAATTATGATAAACAGAATTGATAAAACATGAACTAAGAAAAAAAACCTGCTATGTGCAAAAAAGACTCATTATCACCTTGTAATAGATGATGAAAATTTTCTCTATGAAGTTTCTAAGTTTTGTGGTCCATTAATTCCTTTTAAAAATCCCATTCGAGGATGTAATTCCAACTTTATCAATAGACATACCACATAATAGGATGAGAAGAGGATAGTGACAGTTTTTTAAACCTAGGTGACAGTATTATAAACCTAGATGACACTTTCATCAGACATTCAAACATGATTGCATTGTCCGTAGCCTGTGATTAATTGGGCAACCCCCAGTTCTTAAAAATTCAGGCTTCAACTGTGTACAAACAGAAGTGCCCACTGGTGTCTGAGCATCAGCTGCACCACAGAAGCAGCCCTGCAGTGACACAGCTCAACATGTAGAGAAAGGGAGGGACAGGGAGCTTGAAACAGGAGCCAGCAGGGGACTGCCTGTTCAGAGCGGAGAAGTGAGATGCAGCTCCCACTGCATGCACAGCTTCACAGGAACCTGCTGGCACGGTCTTAAGCTCAACCTTCACTTCCGTTTCTGATTTTATGGGGGGGGAGGGGTCTTAAATATTCTTCAGAACCATTTACTCTATAGGTGAGGTCCTTTCCCCAAAACTTCCTTAACACTTCTCTGTCTGCCTGGGATCCAGTGATTTAAGATAACTATTTACTGTTTTACATTCAGGATCTTAAAAAGTAGATTGTAACCCAATGCTCAGTTTTGAGTTATTCAGTAGAAAAATAAGTTAGGTGAGCAGCAACCCAAGTGGGCGTTTCAGAGTCTTCCAGCGTTTCCGAAAAATCTAACTTGGTTCATGTGGGCAACTACTGATGGTGTTGGTGTGGCTGTAGCTGAAGACTATCTAAATGGGCAGTTGCTACTATCCACACTACTGAGCCAACATTACCTCCTACTGATTCCAACGGAAAAGAAAACATGCTTCAGAGACTCTGTAGAGAAGTATTTTTAAAACAAAAATAAAAATCAATCCTTCAGATCTTCTTGAAGAATTCATATATGACACTATTGGGTACCCACATTTATTATATAACAGCTAATTAGAGGAAACCGAGTGTTTTCATGTTTCAACTTTTCCGTAAGTCCCTTCGGGAGGCCTGTAATGCTTGGGGAAAGCCTTCAGCTGCAGGGAATTAAATGCATATTTGCGACTTCCAACATTCTTCATTGTATTTTCTCTTCGACAACCCTCACTGGGGAAAAACAAGCACAAGAAATGACAGCAGTAAAAAAGGAAAAAAAGAAAAGACTTAAAACTAAGATGAAATGAATTATTTTCATAGCATTGAAATAAAAGGCTGATTCATTTAAATGGGTGCTGGACTCACTTACAATACACATGTCAGATGGCGCGTTTCTGAACAAGGCAAGTAAGAAGCACAGAGATGGGCGCATGCTGTATGGGACGGCAAGATTTGCATTTCCAAAAGCAGCATCAGATCTAAGTGGAAGCAAACTTCTATTTGGGTTTATGGTTCCATGTACTTCCTTTCCAGTGATTTGAGACTTCTAGCATAACTAGTTGTCCAAAGGCTCTGTTACAATGGCAGATTGGTGGAGAAAGGACAAGAGCTACTCTGAAAGAGCCGCATCTTTTCTGTACATGCAGTAGTCATTAGTGACCCCAGATTCAAAATGCTGGTTCTCCTTGCAAAATACAACAAAGAGGCAGTGCTAATGAGCTTGTCCCCACCTAGGAGACCCACCAAGTGGTCCATGGTGCAAGACAATCCAGCAGTCCGTGGGATGCTTGCATGGCTAGCAGGACAGGTGCAGCATGAAGGGGGAATTCCCCACTTATGCCCTCCTGGTGGGCTCTCTTTATTGTGGCCATTTCTCACAACAGTGCCACTAAGCCAGTGAGACCTGAGAGTTCCCTTCCAAAGAGAAGGCTATCAGCTCCCTCACCCCTGCAGCACTGGATGGAGGTTGATCAAGGGAACTCAGTGGCAGGAGCCGTGCCAGGCTCACATTCCCAGATGAGGGCATCAAGGGAGTTCTCTGGGAAATGAATTGGTGTGGACACAACAGCTAACAGACAAAAACAATTCTAAATGTAAATGACTTCCGGTGACACTGTGAACTTTATAGTTTGATAGTATCTGAAGATTGGCAATAAAATCTAGTTATCAAATTGAATACAAAAGTCCTTCTTATGAGATGTAAAATTTGCAGTTATCAAGAAACTATGATTTAAAAAAAATCTCAAATTGTATGAAGACCATTATGTCATGCAATCTAAAAATATATCATTAGAAATTGTTCAAGCCTTTTAAAGAGAAAAAAGCTTGGACATATTTATTATCAAGAACATGTAAAGTATTTTTCATAAGAATAATTTTATTTAAAAGCTCAGGAAGTTTAGAAAAGTATCCATCTGTTTGTTGTCAACTAATTTGGTAATTCAGCTGCTTTCCTGCCACCAGCACAGTAGTGGGGCTGAAATGCCCTGGGCACATGAGCAAGGAGCCCCTAGAGTAAGTGACAGTCACATCTGTGTAACATTCAATAATCAGGTAAAAAAAATTTCTACTGAAAGCTATAGGTTCCTATACACAGTCCTGTCTAATCTTTGGAAGTGCTTACACCATCACACTATTCTCAATATGGCTTCTCCATTTATAAAGGGAAGGTGCTCAAAAAGCAGCTACCTCTCATTTACCTCAGACTGCTTTGGGGAATTTGCATTTTTCAATCCTGACTTTTATTTACACACTAAAGAAGCTATTTGTCTAGCTAGCTAAAACATCTATAAAACTAGAAACAAGATTATACTTTCATTTTAATTTTTTTTTTGGGGGGGTAGGTATTTGAGCCACACCTGGTGATGCTCAGGGCTCACTCCTTGATCTGCAATCAGGGATCACTCCTGGTGGGCTCAGTGAACCAGCTGGGATGCTGGGGAACCAAACCTGGGGTCAGCAGCATTTGCAAGGCAAGCGCCCTACCCACTATACTATCGCTCTGGCTCAATCTGATTTTTCAATCCATATTATATTTACTTTCGGTTAAACGTTCATGATTTATACGATCTGATGAAGGTGGCAGGTCACATGCAGACAGTCACTTTCACAGTGTGGGTGTGTTGAGACAAGCTCTGGCCCTAAGGAGTGTGTGAAGGGGACTGTGTGACCTGCTACAGAGGCAGGGCTCAAACCCCCACTCAGCATGCTGGCTGGTTGCCTGCTACCAGGAGGCTCTAACTTACACTGAGGACTTGAATAGAAGCAAGAGAGACTGAATTATTTCACAGCCACATGGTTTTTGAAAACTAATTTCAGTAAATAAATTCAAGAGCATTCATCCTTGCTGTGGAAAATTAGAATGGGAATGTCAAGTGACAGCTAATATAAGAGAAACCTTTGGGTTTGCTTTTCCATTGGGGATCATCTACTGTGAATCTCATCTGGAACACTGGCAGAAAGACACACTGAAATCCAGGCTGGCTACTATCTTGGCATTAGCGTGAGTTTAGAAATAACCTAAACACCACCACCACCAAATATCACTGGCTCCCCTATCTTGAATCACCCCATCTTTTTCTCATATTATTTTTCACTATAGCAGAAAAAAATTTTGGGGGGGGATATATAACACATAGCCTGATATCATGAGAAATTTTCTCAGACATATATTCTGCAGAAAAGCAACACACATCCCAGGCTGACCTAGAAAAGGTTGGGCATCCATGAGATGGGAAATGGATGGTGTGTGGATGTGTCTTTCCCTCTTTCAGATGAAGTAAGCGAAATGGTCCTTGAGAGCTGTGGTCAGCATGTTGACTAAAAGCAGGGCAAAGGGCCCACACAACTCTTCAGAACCCTGGACAGCGACTCAAGGCCGAGGCCACATTGCTCATTACCAGTTCCTGGGAGCTATACCACACACCAGCCACCTTGCTGATTCAAGAAGAGTGTGGCCACTTGCACAGGGAAGAATGGATTTGCCTGCGGCCATGATACTTGCTCCTGATATGCTCAGGAGGTCTAAGAAAGAAAGGCATTTCCAGGGGTGGCAGGCAAACAGCCCTCCATTTTAGGATTCAAAGTCTAAGCCTGGTGCTTGTCATTCATATTTAACTATTTCTACAATCCCTAGACTCAGATCCAATGCCAAACTAGAGCAATCCCTGAACAAGTTCTAAAATCTTGGGGGTGGGTGAGAATTCAGCACAGGGACCAAACCTAGCTCTGATCTCACACCTGCAAGGCCTGTGCTCTACCACCTCTTCCAGGTTCTGTGCCAGCTTGAGATTAACTATATATGAGGTTTCTGGAAAAATCTGCTTTTGTAAATTTTTCTAATTTCTTTAAAGTGCTAGAAATAAATCCACTTTCATGAAATGCAATATATGGGGAGCAAGTTAAAGGGCAAAAATAGGAGCACAAGACATTTTGAACCAAAAACTAGATGCTACTATTTCTTTTAAAGAAATAATCTATAAAATTTCCCCCCAATTTGTTCTTTTATATTTGCACATTACATTTACCCTACTGCATAACATACAATGTTATGATTTTAAATCATCCTATTTTATAGCCAGGCCCACTATTAAGAGCAGAAGCCAAAGAAACACTTTTCATCTAGCACAACTACTCAAAAGTTAGGCCTCACTTTTGGGGTGACTTCTCTTTGATATTTTTCTTTATTGGTCACAGTTATTTGTAAGAGAGAAAGATATTTAAACTTTAGCCCAAAATAAAAGGTGTAACTTTTAAAATAAGAAAAAAATACTATTTGAATTTTAAAAATGTATGCCATTTTAATAGCCTTTTCTACTATCTGCACTAATTTCTGGAATCATTTAAATATATTTAAAGAGTTAAAAGAGCGCATTTAATGTCACATGCAGTAAGTTATTTTTATGTACCTTATTTGGTATAATGTGCTATTCTAGTCATAGCTCTGTGTCATTACAAATCAGAAATAACAAACATAAGCAAGGAAATGTGATTCTGCAAAGTGTTTGCTACTGTAATTTAAGAGACTACGCTTTGAAATGAAAGCAGAAAGTACCTGTCCTATTAAATAGGTTTATCTAGAGGAGCCAGTTAGAAAGCATCTACCCTTTTCATTTCTTTTCAAAAGGAAAGGAAAGATTAGCAGTACATTTAAATAAAGAAGAGTATCAAATATACAAATGCTTTTCAGACAGAATTCCTTTCTCTTGGAAACAGGGCACATGAAATATACAGGTAATAAAGAGTTTTACATCAGAAAGTAAGAGCTTGAGTACAAGTACTTCCAGGTGAGCTCAACAATGTGGCAACAGGGCACTGTGAAAACATGTTACAAGCACTCAGAGCTGCAGACTTTAAACCAACAAGTCCTCTTGGTGAAATAATTTGGCAGGTATATGTACAGTTCAGAACAACAAAAAGCCAAATCGTAAGGCATAAACTATTTCTTGGCAGACCACGCTTTGACACATTCCTTCTGTCCAGTTAGGTACATGGCGGCTGGACATATTCTGGCACTTTTGTTTTGCTCGTGACTTAGTGTTAATTTTTCATCATGGCATTCATTTGCAACGCAATTTGGACAGCAGGTATGCTATGCTCAGAAAGAGCCACACAATCAGTAAATTGGGGCTCAGAGCTAACAGAGGGATGGAACAGAGGAGGCTGGGGTCTAGTCTTAAGTCTCGGATGGGCACCAGGCCGCTCAAGTTCTTCTGGGTGACCACCTCCCGTGTTCCAATGCTGTGAAAAGGAGAAAGTTTGGGAGAAAGGAAAAGAAAAAAGGAAGAGGAAATAAAAGAGAGACATGAGCGATGGAGTTTATTGAAAGTATGGAAAAAGAGAAGAACCAAAAGATACGATAAAAATAATAATGAAATGGCACATAACAGTGGGGGTGGGGTGGGGGAAGAAAGGTGGTATGCAGAAAAGGGAGTGGAAGGAATACCAAAACAAAAGCAGCACAGTTACAAGAAAAAGAGAGAAAGAGAAGTGAAAAATAAGGAAAAATACTTTGTCTACTGAAAACAAACACATGTCGGCTGGCTGAATGGTTTTCCATGTTCACTCTCTCTCGGCTGGCCAAGCACAAGTGCATGCTGTCACGCCATGCTCACATGCTGCGCTCAGAGAAGCAAGCGGAACATGAAGAACCATTGAGGTTTGACCTTCTCACAGATGCCCGAGCGGGGGCTGGCGTAGTGGCCTCTGCCCAGCTGCCTCTTGATTAGCCATTGACCTCCAAAGACTCGCCTCAGCTGTCTGGCTCAGCAGTGGCCAGGCACGAGCTACGGGAGTCTCCACCTGTCCGAGTTCTTGTGTGAGAAGATGCTCCCCAACAATGGACTCCAGCCGGATTCAGGGTAGTCACTTTGGACCCCCTCTCACTTTTTAGGGGTGAAGAAGCACGGAGGGAGGCAGAACGGCAGCAGCAAAAGACCCCGTGCTCAGTGCCCGCCCACCCATGGGGCAGGGACACAGAGCCAGAAGCACCAGGGCCCAGCAGGCAGCTCGAGAGGGCCCACATGAGGCGGAACAGGCAGCATCTAGCTGCATCCTCCTGGGCTTGCCCAGAGAAATCTGGGAGTCCTGAATGGCTGTGGTGGGCCACTCCAGTCCCATCCCCCACCAGGGCAGCCCAGCGAGCCATTGTAGCAACTCAGGAAGGCTCTCTCATAGCAGGTTTCAGCCTGGGTTTGGGGACAGGGACACTGGTGAGCCAGGAGAGACTTGGGTGGCTTGAACAAATCTCCCAAACTCCAGCTTCCACAGTGCACTGATAGGTGAGCCTAGATTCCGAGGAAGTATTTAAGCCACAGAAACTATGAGCTGCCAATAGCTCACACAGCTCACAGCCTTTTGTTCTTCAAGTGAGAACGCTTAGACATTGGCTAGCAGAGCGATGAAACCTGCTTAGCCTGGCCCTCCGCTCTGCCTCCCTGGCCCCTCCTACTCGCTGGCCTGCATGCACTACTCCTCAGTGTGGTAACAGACTGCAAGCGAGAACGTCAGAGCAACAAGATGCGTTCCTGCCCTCAATGGCACAACAGCACTAACTGTCCCCACCACAGGCTCTCACTGCACTCGCGGCCTGGCCACCACCACACTCAGGCTACTGGCTCATGGCTGGTCACTTTGGGTATGCTCTATGAGTAGATGTGTGCCCATCTCAGTAGGGTGATCCAGAGAACAGAGCAGCAGGTGCCACAGGGTCACCTCAAGTAAATGCATGTGGCAAGTGCCCACAATGCTGCAAGGATAGGTGGCTGAGGTGGCAATGCACACAGAGTCTACGACTGGCAGGACATGGAGTCTGGGTGGCAGAGGCAAGACGAGCTCGAATTCTGTGTTATAAACTATCATGTAGGATGCTGTGGGGGGCAGGGGGTAGTGTGATTGGTACAGGGAACAGCTGTTAGTTTGGATACAGAGCGTCACAAAGTCAATTCTTTTAAGTAAGGACATATCCAGTGGTGCTGGGGGCCATGAGTGCTGGGGACCAAATCAGGTCCATGCTAGGTATGTGCTTTAGTATCTTCCTGACCCAAAGGGGCATATGATTTTCACCAGAGGAACCAGTGGAGAAAAGGATATTTACTGCAGCACTGCTTAAAATGCTAAGAAGGAGGGGGGCAAAGAGATAGATATGTAATGCTTATGCCTTACACGCATGAAAGGCCCTAAATTCCACCCTGGCAATGCCAAAAGAAATAAAAGAAGCTGAAAAAATCTGTATACATGGGGCTAGAGAGTTAGCACAGGGGACAAGATATTGCATGTGGTCAACCTGGTTCTACCGGTGATACCACATATGGTCCTCTGAGCCCCACCAGGAGTGATCCCTAAGCACAGAGCTAGGAATAAGCCCTGAGCATAGCTGAGTGTGACCCAACCTCGCTCTCCTCCACAAGTACAAGCTATTCAATGATGGCAAACTGGGTAAATTATGGTATGCTAAAAAATGGTAAGTTCTATATTATTAACCTGAGAAAATGATCCCAAAACGGTTAGGTGAAAAGTGAGGAGGCTTAAACAGTAAGCAGGTCCAGCTGCATTTGTACCTGTACATGTTTGTTCTGAGTATTACTCAGGCACAAATAACCAGTGTGTACACTGACCATAATCACATCTGTGCGCCCCTCTGTCTCTGAAATATGAGCACTGCCACTTCCAGTGGGCAACGGTCAGGATGGGAGCCCAGGGCTTCACGTGTCAGGGTGTGCATTTCCCACAGAGCCACCTCCAGGCTCCAGCGCTGTCCACATTCAACAACAGCAACAGGAAAATCTCTGTGGTGGTATGTGTGCGTGTGCACACAGACACAACGAGTGCCGTGGCTCATCTGCATTTCCCGACCTTCCTACAAGGAGTATCAATTTCTCCAGTGATGGAAGCTGTAAGGCGTGCTCTGGTATGGTTTCACACACATCTGAGGCTTGCAGCTATAGCCCTGCATGCAGTGTCTGCACACCGCACACCATCCCAGTGGCCATGGTGGCTTTGTGCTGTCGTCCGAGAAGGACTGAAAGTCAGTGGCCAGGGCCACCAAGGGTGCAGGCTGCACCTGGGTGCCCGGGAGCTGCTTCCTTCACCCCCGGCTCAGGCAGAGCACAGGCTGTTTTCAGCAAGGCTCTTGGAGCTACTGCGACAGGAAAGGGTCTCTGGGTCAGAAGATGCCGAACTCAGGACAGCACACCCAAGGGGCTGGCTCCTTGTCTGTCACAGCCTCAGAGTCGCCCCTGCACTTCTCGCTCCATCTCAGATGGGGGTGACGGGATCTGCATCTCCCTAGAGCGCTAGAGTGCCCTTCCTACCACCTCCAGCACAGATGTCACTGGAACCCAGGCCCTGCCGCCACAGTCTAGGACACTAAGACTAAGGGCACAAGGCCTCTGAGTTCCTGTGACTCCCTCCTAGGGCCAGTGAGGGTGACCAGCTTTCTGGGAGTGTGCTAAGAAGTGGCCCTGAGGGAACAGGCAAGAGGTTCATATGAACTTCAACAGACGAAACAGGGACGAAACAGTTCATTCTCCCCAAATGTTACTATCAAGAGGCAGGTGCTCAGGAATCACTTCGGTGCATTATCGTGAGAAGGTCAAATGGCAGAAACATACAGAAAGGATAAGAGAATCGAACGATTTAAAGAATTTGGTGAGAGGACAAATGATACAGAACATTCAGTAGAGGTGACCGTAGGGACGAGACTAGGACAGCATTGGTGACTACACTGAAGGCGACAGGAAAACCAGTTTCTTATCCTTTCTTTTGGTATGTGAGTAAGGTGCTCCCTGGGGCTGGAAACAAGGCATCGATCAACAGGAGACAGTTTTAGTCCCAGGGTTCATTCTGCAAACACACCTGCTGCCTCAGAATCAGAACGTCATTAGGGGGAGGTGGCCACGGCACACGGACAGGCGGGCGGGCAGCTGCGGCCCTTACCAGGAACACTCACGAGACACTTTGCTCATCGAAGCAAACCGTGTCCGAGGGGAGAGAAGCAGAGCAACCAGTGCAACCTGCAGACGTGTTTTCTCTACTCAAGTTTGGAAAAAATTAGCGTAAGGCACATGGACGCCTGCTGAGAAGGCGCGTGCCAGCCCAAACCCAGGCCACATGCCAGGCATGGCACACAGCTGCACCCCAGCTCCCCAGAAGCTTCCTAACCCAATACCCACCCAAGGCTGCCCATTTTCAGTTCAGTCCTGTTCAGAGTCTGCAAGCTTGGACCATTGCCTCTGACTCGATTTTAAAGAGAGCACTATTTCAATCTAATAATGGGGGGTCCATGAATCAGTGCATTTATGCCCCACTGAGTGGTGGCCGGAAACCAGGGGACTTGTGCCCAGGGCCCCCAGAAGCGGTAGCAGCCCCGGCTCATCTGCAGTTTACACGGGGTCCAGGGAGCAGGGTGGCTGGCAGCGGGACTCACCTGCGCATACACTCCAGTGCCTGTGTGAACACCTGCGGGGCCATGCCATGCTCGTGCTGCAGGATGAGGCACTGTTCCAGTGTCACAGACATGGCTGTACGGTCCTTGGCACTCTTGCAGCTGGTAAACCGGACCCCATTAAGGCGGCGGCAGATCTGCCCAGAGGGAAACAGGTGATGCTTAGAGGGAAGGTCTGTGAGAGGAGACACCCTGCACCAGGCAGAGTTCAGGCCAGGTCTCTGCTCAACTTTGCCCGATGGGAAGGACGGTCCAGCCATCTTTAGCCACCTCCCAGCAACATCCTTCTCCTCCTCCTCCTGACATGAGCATCCACACACACACACACACACACACACACACACACACACGCTCACCTGCATACGCTCCCACATATGCAAACACACACAAGGGTGCACACACACACTTGTACACAAATTTGCTTGTATGCACACACACAAACCCATGTATTCTCCAAGGAACCTTTTAATGCAGAGAACTGACATGACTCGGATTATCTGAGAGTCTCCACTGAAGCCTCTCTTGCAGCCTTGGGGCCGCGTCTCCTGGCTGGCTCTGATCTGGTCACAGGGCATGTGACTCACCCCCCTGTAGTGAATGGGACAGACAGAAGTGGGTTTTCCAACCAAGTGGTGCTCTGACTCAGAGAGTTGCCTTGGACACTGTAAGAGCCATTCAGTGAGTGCCTGTCTTATGCCAGTGTGGCAAGGTCAGACTGTGCCACCCCTTGGCCTCTTTGCGTCCTGGGGGGAAAACCACGGTCTTTGTTCAAAGACCTGTGTAGAAGCTTGCCATGGTCAACAAAGCAGTATTAGCAGGATCCCACAAAGGGGACTTGGAACAAACCGGGGAGTCCCACTGCAGAGGCTCCCCGGTACTCCAGTAGTCAGGAGCCTGATCCTGTGCCCCCATCTGCAAGGCCACCTGAGCAAGTGAAGGCAAATGAGGCTCCAGAACCAGAGAACTTGAAATGTGAGGTCTATGGGCCTCCCAGCTTCAAATGTCTTCTGTTAAAATGGAAAGAATCATCTGGTGCCAGAGAGAATATCCCGACTACCTAACTCATCCTTCTTGTGAGCATCTTAATGAAGAGAGGGATAGGCAGAAGAGGGACATTCACTGTCACAGCTTCAGTCGATCCAGAGACAGCAGTGGGCACAGCCACTAACCAGAGGGAGCGATGATCAAACGGGCTGGTGATGACAGCTCTCTCACACATGCTCCACCCAAGAACCCCAATGCCAGCAAGCACCACACACATAAATGACCCAGATCATTTGCTACAGAAGAAACCTGGAGTAGAGAGAAATATGAAAGGGAGAAAGAGGGAGTAAGGGCGGGAGAGAGAGAGAGAGAGAGAGAGAGAGAGAGAGAGAGAGAGAGAGAGAGAGAGAGAGAGAGAGAAGAGAAGAGAAGAGGAGTGAGAGAGGATGGGGCATACCCTTAAAGCTTACTCCTGGCTCTATGCTTAGGGATCACTCCTGGTAATGCTCACGAGACCATCCTAACAATTGTCAGGGATCAAACCAGGGCTGGTCACACTCCAGACAAGTGCTGTAACCCCTGAACTATCTCTCTGCCCTGAGAAAGACATTTCTAACAAGGAGGGCACTCAAAATCAGATCACTCAGGAAAGCTGAACAGGAAGGCTCCTACCTTCCCCTTCTACCCTAGAACCCAGACAATGGCCAAGTGGTGGTGGGCGATGGGAGGAGATCCCATGGCCCTAGGGGCAGAGTGGCCTATGTCCACCTTTCCCCACTGCCCAGGTCACACACACAGCCAATCACAGCGAGAAAGTCCCCCTTCCTCCACCTGCCCACACCAGGGCTGAGTGAAGGGTGAGCTGTGAAGGCCTCACCCTAGGCTCCCAGCAGTGCCCTGGAGGCCCACAAATTCATTCCTTAGGAAACAGTGTGAGCTCCCTGGAGTACCCAGAGCCCGTGAAGCTCAGTCCCACTTCAAGCCCAGTAAAAGGAGCAGCAGGCTATGGGTTTGAGCTATTTTGACTTCATTGGCTTTTGAAAGTGACAATGGACACTAACCTACTAAGTGCCCAGAGAGTCTGGATCTGAGCTCCCAGTATCTTTCTGGGCTTTCTCTCTGCTCCTGGCAAAGATCTGCTTTCATTAGCATTATTAGTAAGGGATGTAACAAGAACATTGTTGCCCTCCCTGCAACAAGTACCTCAGCAGCTTGCCAGAGAATGTCCACATTCTTATTCTTCCTGGCATGCACGTTTTGACCCAGGAATCGTAGCAGCTCCGGGAGGCACGTCTGGCTCCGGGATCGAGGTAGGCCTGGAAGAGAGTCGTTATCTGTGGGAGCTGGAGCTCACCAGCGCTTGCCAGCCCAAGAAGCCCCCTCACTTCCACCCCCACCCCAACATGGCATGGAAATGGCTGAGGGATAATGCCAGGCCAGAGCTGCAAGGGTTGTGTTTGGTGACTGAATCAGGCTACAGAAATGGCGAGGACTTCATTTCCTCTAATTGCCATTCCTGTTCCACCACCGAGGACAATCAGTTCATGTCCTTCCAGCTCATGCAAGGGGCTGGAGTTTGGACATGGAGTGGCTGAGTGAGCAACATGTGGGAGAGATGCACTGTCTTCCAAATCTGTCAGGATGGGGAGGCTCAGGGAAGCTGGCCCTGACAGAGTGTATAATCATGACCAGCTGCCACCTCCCACCCCCAATTTCCAACCCACTCTGTGTGATCAAGATGGCCCTGGGCCATACTTAACTGATTCTGAATCCCACTGTGATTCCCCATGCTCTCTGACTACTTCTCAAAGCCATACAACTTCTAGGGCCCATCAAAGCTAAGGACCTGTCAGGCAGCCTCCCCTCAGAAACCCGGGCCTTTCACACTCCTCGGTCATCGGGAAGAAGAGGAGCCTCAAGGCCACGTCTAAGAAAAGAGCTGGGGGCCCTGATGACCACCACAGAGTCTCATTCTGGGAGGAAGTGGCACCACGTCGCCAGCATATCTTGCACCTGGTGTGCATGGAACTAGGCTAATGACTTTATCCCCTGGCTGTGTTCTAGTTCCGGTCACTTAGGGGAAAGGCCCAAAACAGAGATGTGGAAAGGAGGTCCTTGTCTGTGATGAGGCTGTGAGCTCCCAGCTCGAGGTGGCAGGAAGCCCTGGCCTCAGGACAGTGGTGGCTCTAGCTGCCTCCCCACGGCCGATGGCAGCGCCTGGGGTTTTGCTGCTGAAGGACACAGTGGGCAGTGCCCACTGAGAAATGGAGTTGACATAGGAAGCGTAGCTGGGTGGGCTCCATGTGAGCCCCAGACAGGCAGAACAGGTCAGGGCTCCCCTATTTAAGGTTCCGGTGCCTCCCTGGAGGGGTCATGCCTGGGTTGTTTTTTTAAAAGGAATTTATTTCTCTCCTGCCCCTTCCACTGCTGCTGCTGCCACCATGACCAGGGTCACACACACTTGGCTGTGGCAGTACAGGGTCACACGTACTCTGGGGCTCATCATGGCCACAGGGTCACATGTGCACTTGGTCGTGGTGGTCACTAGGTCACACTGTCCTGTAGGGCTCATGGCGATCACATACTGCCCATGTTGGCAGGACTCCCTGGAGGTCGCACACCAGCCCACCAGCCCTCACAGCCATCCAGGCTTTCGGTGATCTGGTGTGAACATGGTACACTAGGTCCTATGCTGCATGTTGCAGGAACCAAGGCTAAAAGGTATGTGATGAGCACACATCAAGGGCCTGTCTGCCTTTGGGAAGGAATCCCAGAAGAGGGCGCTGCGTGAAAGTGAGGGCTGTGCTACTGGTGGCAGATCTCTGCCATGTGATTCCTGGGGTGAGGGCTACCCCCATCCCTCTATCGAGGTCTTGAGATGCCTACGCCTGGGGCAGAACTCAGAACATGACTCCCCTGACACACAGGGCATTGACTTGTGTCCCTGTCTACTCTGAGCACCAACAGCATCTTCACTGGGCCACCGCTGTCATCTCACCACCCCCTCCAGGGGCACCTGGATGGGGACCCAGCAGTTGGCACCTGCCTGGCCTCTTACTCATGTGCCATATATGGAGGGGCATAGGAGCTCACATGTCTGCAGAGGCAGTCAGCCCTTGGCTAGGACAGGGTCCTAACTCTGTGATCCCAGCTGTCTTGCTAGTGGGAACCCAGAGCATATCACTGAAGGCATGAATGAATATCAGAGACTAAGAGTGATGAGAAAGCCCTCTTCCTGGAGGTGGGAGGAGAACCCTCCAGAAGAAAGATGAGCAAAGGTCGCAGCCAGAGGGAAACTTCTCCAGGTAGGGGCTCATAAATAGGCTGCTGTGAAATGGGGTTGCAGGAAGTGAAGCATGGCACACATGCAGTGTCAGGGAGCACAAACACACAAACACCCTGAGATCACAGGCCAAACCTACCACGAATATGAAGAAATACTCACAGTCCTCTGGCAAAACTTCCTTAAACTGCTCAAAGTAAGAATTTAGCCGCACCAAACTCTCCACATTGATAACTTCTTGCAAAGATGTGTCACCAAACCTTTGGAAGGCATAGGAAACCCATTAGTTGGCTGATGTCACCTTTTTCTAGCTTCAAAATAGTTGCAAATCAGTGGTATTTATTTGCTCAAACACCTACTGTACATATCTGAATTCTCAGTCACCTTCCTCTTCCCAGGCATGAGATCACCTCTGCCATGTGGATTACAGGCTAAATCCTACTTCATTAACTAGAAGTAGTGACCAGAGCAATAATACAGCAGGAAGTCCACTTGAATTACATACCGTCAACCAAGTTCAATCTATGATATTCCATGTGGTTCCCTGAGCCCACTAGAAGTGATCCCTGAGTCTAGAGCAAGGGGAAATCCCAGAGCATTGCTGGATGTGACCCCAAAACCAAAAATTACAACAGAACAAAAAACAGAAAGTAGACAGGCAGGCCTGAGTGGCTGTCAGTGGAGATTTGCACCAGGCACTCCGGCCACAGGAGAGCCCCCACCCACAGCGCTTAAGAGAGGGGGCAGTAGTAGCCTGGAGAGAGGACACGAGGCCATAATCCACAGGGAATGGCTCAGCACACCTCTCGGCCAGCCGAGCACGTGTGCTAACTCAAAGGACACAGAACATCCTTTAAAAACACGAGAGCTCTCTAGACAGCTCCCTTCCTCGCTCCACTCCTCAACCTCTTCATCCTCAACCTCTTCATCCTCCTGTGGAGTCCACACAGCCTGTCCATCCCTGACACTCCCAGGACTTTTCCTCAGGAACCCTCTCCTATGGGGTCACCCCCAGGGCAGTGGTGATTTTGGGGATTTCAAGGCAGACTGTAGGCCACAACCCAGCACGTGCCCTGCCTCTCATAGCCCTGGTATCTTCCTCTGGCTTATCTGTCCCTGCTCACAGGGATAAGACCTCGCCTCGGCGCCATCCAAAAATCTCTTTGTCGAGTTATGAACAGCAGCCATCAGAGGTGAGGGGAGGGAATTCTTCCAGGACCCCCTCCCTGCTGTCTCGGCTTCACCCACTCTCCCTCTGCTCACACCGCCTGAGGCTCCAGAGCTGGTGGCACCCCCAGCCCAGCTCTCCATCCCTCTGATCATGAGCTCCTGGGCCCTGGGGGATGCACTGCCCACTGGGTCCGCGTACCCTCCTACCCACCCTCCCAACACCCACCCAGTGGCAACAAACTCGTCCCACTGAAACCATTCTCTACAGGATCTGTGTCTGGTCCAGGTCGCTGTCCAGCAACCTCTCCATCACACTCACCCTTCACACCTGTCAGCATCTGGCAAACCATCTTCTTAGCTCACGTTCAGTTACTAAAGCTCTTCCCCCCACCCCACCCCGCCTGTCACACCATGGCTGCTGGAGGTGCAGAAGGCTCAGAAACAATCAGTTCTTTCATCCTAGAGACCCTAATAACCTTTAATAATCAAACATACCTATCACCTGAATGCCATCATGAAACAGGGAAGATTTGCATGTATTAGGGGAAAGTTACCAATCTTTTCTTCATTCCTCAAAACACACACACACACACACACACACACACACACACACACACACACACACAATTAGATCTTTCCATGGCAGGTGATCTGGAAGTGGTCACAAGGCACAGCGCTCAGCCCAGCACCTGAGCCTCTGACTCCACGTGCTTGCTGAGAATACTTGGCCTTGGACACCAGGTATCTCCTCCACCTCATCACAGGACCCACGTTCTCTGTAGATCCCGGTGCAGGCACTGGGATAGTGGTGAACTCAACCATCTTCCCAGACCCACTGCAGCCATCATGAAGGAAGCCCTCTCAAACCCTCTTGGACTTCCTCAGGGCCTGACTCCCTGTATCTATCTTCATTCACTCACACATATCCGTCTCCCACCATGGGGGTCTCGGGCTCAGCTTTGTGTCCCTGACAGGTATGCGGCTCTGCTTGGGGCCAGCTGGCCCCCAGGAAGGTGGATGGAAGCCTACACTGCGCTCAGAGGGCCCTGGGCATTTCTGACAGCCGCCCGCTCCTGCAAGGGGTCGTGCGTACCTCTCGGCCAGCGTCTGCTGTTCGTTGATGCCGACGTTGAAGAGGACAGGCTGAACCCGCAGCAGCATGCCACTCTGGATCTCTCGAGGCAGGGAGTCAAAGAGGGGGCCAGGCAGAGGGATCCGCACATTAAACCCATCGCTGGAAAACACCGGAAAGAGGAGGAGGCTGGGCTGGTCCAATGCCACAGGAGTGGCAGGAGCAGCAGCAGAGGGAAGGAAAGCCAAGGCTCCTCATTAAGAGGGTGGGCTGGCAGGAACGCAAAGGGACGGTGCAGTGAGCTGGGGTGAAGGTTCAGCAGGAAGAAGTGGAACACCATGGGAAGGGGCCGCACAGAAGCGCCACAGCGGGGTGGGCACTGGGCTAGGCTGTGTGTGCAGAGAAGGCTCCTACCGATTCCCAGTGATGACCGGCAGCATGTCAGTCGATGCATTCGAAGTGGCCTGTGTGACTTTGAAGGTGACATTCCTCAGGTCCATGATGCCAAGGCTCATGTCCTCCAGCATGGCCAGCTCCTCTCCTGGATAAAGAAGCGGGGGCTGTCAGGCAGGACTGACTCAGTGTCACGGATGGGAGCAGACAGCAGGGGAGGAAGGGTCATGGGGTGGGAGGCAGCGGTCCCTCCAGGCCTCTTTAACTGGCAGCCTGCTGCTCTGGTGAAGGGAAGTGGGAGCTTGGGGGGCCTCAGAGGGACGAGGCAACTGCTTAGAGAGGGACCCTGTCGCCAAGACCTTCCATTATCCAAGATTTGATGTTTACTTGATTTCTAATAATTTCAAAGACGGAGGAATACTTGGAAAAGTTACCCATTTTCAGGAGCATTCCCGAGCTCCTTCAGGTATGGCCACAGCCCCCCTGCTCCAAAGTTACCCAATTTTACCTTCTCAGAAAAAAAATTGAAAAGATGGAAAAGAAAGCCTTTCTAGAGAAATTTTCTATGAAATTTTTACATCTCCCTGCCTCTTGATGAAGAAACCTTCTAACAGTGGCTGCAGAACAGGCCTGGAGCTGCCCTATCTGAATCATTATCATCCATCCTTATTAGAGCTTTTCTAGTTCTGTCAAGGATAGTAGCGAGCACAGGGGTGCATGCTGCCAATCCTGGACTGACCCCTGGCGCTACAGGGTTCCCTGAGCATGTACAGAGTCCCACGGGTGCTAACAGAGTCCCCCAAGTACTTCAGGATACCACTAGAGGCTCTGAGCCACTGGGGTGGCTGGGGAATCCCTGGCACTGCAGGGCCCAAGCCACACTGCGTCTTTAGACCTTGGCATTAAGCTGTGGGCCTGGCCGGGAGAATCGCAAGGAGGGGTGCTGGGTCCCCCTGAACGCTGCTAAGGAGGCTTCCTCACTGCCCTCCCCAAATAGCTACAAAAAATAAAACAAAGGAGGGTGTGTGTGTATGCGTGCGTGTGCGTGTGTGCGTGTGTGTGTGTGTGTGTGTGTGTGTGTGAGAGAGAGAGAGAGAGAGAGAGAGAGAGAGAGAGAGAGAGCGCTCTACAGACAACGTTCATCTGGTTCCTGGCTCAATGCAGGTGATGCTTGAGTTTAGTTAGGCAGCACAGGGAGCACAGAGACACCCTTGGAGGCAGCCTGGCCCTCTCACCATAGGTGCTCAGCAGGCTCTCGAACTGGGCCAGCAGCCCGATGGTGTAGAGCTGCCGCAGGAAGCCATCGTCATGCAGGCAGTTGCGCAGCTTGATGATGAAGCCGCAGATGAGAGCTGTCAGCTGGGGGAGAGACACACGTGAGCACACTCGCCTTCACGGGCCCCTGTCCCTGCTCCTTTGTTCTCAGTGGCCTGCAGTGTCCCTGGAGGGGAACCGCGGGGTAGAGACCCAGGAGGTTCACACGAGATTCACAGTGGCACAAGCTGCTGCCCCTGCTGCCCCCAGAGGTCAGTTCTGTTTGGGCAGAGTTCCCACCTTGACCTGCCTCAGGTACACTCCTAGGCAAGAACCTTCCAGAAGCCAGAATTAAGTCTCACAAATCCGTACAAGTGCCAGTGGGAAACTGAGCTACCCAGTCCCCAGAGCTCTCTGGAGCCAGCAGCACCATTTCCACTGCCGTGCGCCTGCCCTATGCACAAGGCACCTGCTGTCCCATCATGCATCTGCAGGGAAAATTGAAGGTGGCAAAGAGCCTTGTGCCATCCTGGCGCCACAGCTGTGGGTGCAGAACCGCAGTGCTGTGCCCGCTCTGGGTGCAGTTCTGCAGCAAGAACCAGCATGGATTCAGACCCCCCCCCGGTCCACAGAGCCCTGGCAGAGCCGCCCTCCTCCCTGTGCGCGGCTCCAGGTGGAGGAAACAGTGTTCTCCGGGGATGTGCCTCAGCAGGGTGCGGGGGGCTTACGGTCTGGCAGAAGACCACGTCGCGGCGGTACTGCAGGCTCAGGTAACTGGCGATGGTGGGCGCGCTATCCTGCATCAGCAGGAACACCATGGCCTTCTTGGCCTTGTCGCTCATCATGGCCACGCAGTCGGTAAGGGTGGTCAGCAGCGGGTAGAGGGCCTCGCTCCACGCACCTGCAACGGTGGATTCTAAGAACGAGGCTGCAGGAGTCCACCTGCTCCCCCACCCCCTGGCTTCCTGTCCTCCCTCATCTCCTTCCTCCTCCCCTTCTGCAGCTCCCCATCGGCCCTACTCTGCCTGGAACTCGTGCTGCGTTTCCTGAGGAGGGACCTGGACTCTGGCCTGTGAGCTCACAGCTTCGGGGAGGGGAGAACCTCACTGAACTGTGTGAGTGTGGAACATGCTGGGGCCCCTGAACTACTACTGCCCCCACCCCCGACCTTGCAGTGGATCCCTGGGCAGAAAACAACAATCCCAAAAAGCTCTGCAAATTCACTTCCAAGCAAGAAAAAAATTCCATCTAGAGAGATTAATCCCTTCTAGAGTCCCCACTGTCCCCTACCCAATGAGAGAAGTTCCCCCTAGAAGAGTGCTGTGTTAACATGCTACTCTGAACCCAGGCATTTCAGGCAGGGAACCCATTCTTAAGAGGCAGGGGAGAGTGCCGCCTACTGGTCTCACGTGCAACTGCACCAACTTACCTTTCTAGGGTGGAACACCAGCCCACTTTCCCAGGCTTACTGCGCCAGGTCCCCTTCTTCACCCACGCCCCTCTCTACCCCCGCAGCCAGCACTGCTCTCGGGCTTACTCGCTTGATATACATACACACACATACATATGTAAGGAAACGCTGACCCTGTACTAAACTCTGACCCTATTTTAAAAATAGAAATCTTAAGTCAGGGAAGACAAAGCCAAAGGTAAATGCTGTGTTGGCTCTTTCTTCTCTTCCTACTTAGAACATTTAACAGAGAGAATATATGCCCTCATAAATTATATTTTTAACAGGTCACCAAGCCCAGAAACAGCATTTGATCTTGCTTGCTTGCATATCAACTTGCCCGTGGTGGCACAGTGAAATGGGCAGGGCCTGCCTTAAGGAGCAGGAACAAGCCACAGACAGCCCCAGGAGGCGCCACACTAGGAGAGGCCAAGAGGCTCCAGGAGCCCTGCAGTCACCAGAGACAAACCTGGAGGAAAAGAACATACAAAGCAGAGAGGAGGGAGAAGAGGCCCTGCCCTCTCCAACTGTATGAACTGTGTGGCTGGCATTCTATTGAGAAACACATCTAGAGAAATGCCTTGAGCCTGCAAAGGGGCATGTACTCAGGTTAGATTATGCAGATTTTCAAGGATAAGTAGTTTCAAATTTGCAAATGATCTTACTCTGTGGCAGGAAAAAAAAGGGGAAAAAAAGGCTTAGATTTAGAAAATCTTGGGCAGAAAGGTATCAGCAAATAAACCACAGTGAAAGGAATGAGCCAAGGAGTGGGGCATAGGGGTTCCAGGCCAGGCTGCTCCAACAGCACAGAAAAGGAGGGGGCAGGGTTGCAGGCAGCGGGAGAGAGTGGTGTGTCCTCCGCCCTCTCCGTACATAAGAAGGCCGCCCGGATAGCGGAGTCTAACATGCAATTGGGCCCAATGCTTAAGTCTGTCTGTCTTTAAAGTGTGGATCCACATTCTGTCTCCTCTGTTTCTTCACAGAACTCTGTGGAATCACTTCACTCACATTCAGCAAACACAAAAGGGTGAAGATAATTAGCTTTTAGGCAAATCATTTGGAGGAAGGTAACAGTCATCAGGACTATTCACTGAGAAGTAAATGTGCCCAGAGCAAATACTGCTAATTTTACTTTGTTTTTCCATTTAAGATGCATACACATCACTTTAGTATGAAAATGATCAGAATCCATGACTCGTCTCTAATCAAGTAGGTGCCCTCCCGGCTTCTCTGCTACACTGTAACATTAGGGGCAGGGGGAGGCAGTGGAGGTCTGGGGCTGGAATCTGGAACACAGGGTTCAGCATGAGGAGCTTGTTTTGAGAAGAGACAGAGATTTGGGGAAGGGGCTGTGGTTAATCTAGCCATCAATCATGTGTCCAGAAAGGGCTCAGGGTGCAGGATGGCTCCAGGGCTCAGTAAGCATTAGTGGCGCCACCATTTCCACAATACCTGCTTACTGGTAACTGTTTGCTCAGAGTTAAATGTCTTCCTAGTGACTGGCCTCAAACTCCTTGTTACTTCCTTAAGCTGCCTCTGCTGAGTCAAAAGAGAGGCCAGAAGGCAAGTTTTGGCCAATGCATAAAATCTAAAATGGTAATAATAAAAAGGCTTACAAAAAAAATGAGACTTCTACCAGCACCTAGAGAGAATAATGAGCTTTCTACTAACATCTAGTTAAGTCAAAGTATTTGGTGTATTAAAACTACCCAATCATTTTACTTCCTCCAATTGAGAAAGTGCTGCTACAAACTCCACTCAACAAAACAAAGTTCCCTGTGATGGAGCTGGTCTCCTTGGGGGCAGCAAGCCCCCTGTTTCAATATCAATCTGGACCACTTGCTGACCTGTGGTCATTCCATGGACCACACGACTCCACATAACTTGGCACTTTCAAGTCCATATCCTGCTGCAGCTTTGTTTTCCTAAAAGAGTGGGAAGTGGGAGGGAGGGAACAAAAACAAAGAGTGGGATATAGGGAGAGGGAGAAAGCAGAGGGATGGGGGAGGTGGCAGGGGGAGGGGGAGAGCAGGGGGGAGAATAAGGACTAGAAATTGTCCTAGAAATATCAGGAACCCTGGGGTCGGGGGAGCCCATGAGCTCTGTGGGCAGGCTCACGGGTTGCTCCCACGGAGGCCTCAGGGCAGCAGCTCTGGGGCAAGCACTGTGCGGCTGTGTAGGTGAGCTGAGCACTGAGGGAGACCAGAGGCTGGAGACAAGGAGACACGGGCCAGAAGCAGCAAAGGAAAAGAGAAGTCTGAGATGTTTATCTGCATCTGTCAGCCTCAGAGACCCCCAGGGCTCAAGGGCTAATGTCAGAGACACCACAATGAATTTTTTGGAAAAGAGAAACTGATAGAGAGTTGAAACAAATGGAGTTGGTTATGCAGTGCCCCATTAAATGAGCCACAGATGAGCCACGCGAGTGGGGTCCTGGGGGTGGAGTCCCCAGGGTGCACAGGTAAATTCCTGGTACCCTCCCTGCAAGTTGAAAGATTCAGCTAAAAAACGGTGGATAGGATAAATCTGGTGAGTTCCATGATCACCACTTTCTAAACTCTAGATACAAAGCAGGTTGGATACTCACATTCGTATCCAGTCAGGAAAATGTAATCATTGGACTGATTACATAGCTTCTTTCTTTTTGGAGCATAAGAAAAAAGAACTGGGGGCGGGGTGTGCTGGAAATCCAGTACAGCAGAGAAGGTGCTTGTCTTACACATAGCTGACTTGGGTTTGATCCCCAGAACCCCATGTTTCCTAGGACCCCACCATGAGTTACCCCTGAGCACAGAGCCAGGAGTAAACCCTGAGTGCAGCTGGGTGTGGTCCCCAAACCAAAATAACCCAAAAAGAAAAAACAAAAGGAAAAAAAAGAGGAAAGGAGAGGGGATATGGGAGGGAAGAGAAGAGTAGAAGAAGGGAGAGGGAGGGGAGAAGAGTCATAATGCTGGGGGTGGGGTACTTAAGCTCACTGAGAAAAAAATATCCAGGAACTTCAGTATGAACTAGGCAGGGGCAGCACATTTTTTTTTCTGTAGAGGAGGAGAAAAATGATAAATATTTTAGGCTTAGATGGCTGGTTGGGGCTGGGGTGCGGAGGGTATGTCTTGCTGCAACTACTCAACCCTGGCACTGCCCCCACAAACGCAACGGTAAGCAGTGTGTGCGTGGATGGGGCACAGCTCATTTCCAGTACAACAGTGCTTTTGCCACCCCTGAAAAGGAGCTGAGCTGAGTCTCCAGGATGCAAATGAAGTAGAATGACTCTCTCTAATGCTCACTTCCGGCTGAGGCCTGTAGCAGGGCCTAAGGGCTGGGTGAGAGCTTGAGAGGCAGAGCACTGTGCTGAGTGTACCCGAGGCCCAGAGTTTGAGCTTTGTCCTCCATGGTACCCCTGGGACTCCTGCTCTCAGGGCCAAGCTCTGCTGGGAATGTCCCCAAGGGTGCCCAGGAAGGAAGGGAGGAAGGGAGGGAAGGAGGGAGGGACGGGGAGGAAAGGGGAGGGGAGGGAGGGAAGGGAGGGAAGGGAGGGACAGAGAGACAAACACAAAGCTGCTGCCTGACATGTGATGGAAGAGACATTTCCTGACCTCTGTGCCCTCTCCCTCCAACTGCTCGAACCCTCTCTCCACTCATAGACAACTATCATTGAAGACAATTTTAGGATGAGACACAGAAACAAGCCGGTGGCAGCTTATTCCCTGGTCCAAAGCCCCCAGCAAACAGCTTTTGAGACACGTTGTAGAAGCAACAATAGTTTTTTTACTGATACTCTGTAAATATGTTCCTTTACTGCCTGGAAATAAAGAAACCCCTAAAATACTGTCCTACCTCTAGAGCATCAAGAGGCCTCTGACCAGTCAGACACAAATGCTGAGTGTTAAAAGGCGCCCCTGTGCAAGGCCGGGGCAGGAACCACATACCTGGGCTGGACTCTTCAGGAGGGGGGCTGCAATCTGCATGGAAATGGAGGGCGACACGGACGGTTAAGGCGCAGCACACGGTCCAAACGCGACGGCTCAACGCTTAGAGCAGCTGCCTCGGCAGCTTGCAGTAAGGTGGCTAGACGGAAGGAAGAGGCTGGGGCGCAGGGGCCTCTTCTGCAGAAGCCACATGTGAGTGCAGGCCACAGTCCGGCCTACCTGGGGGCCGAGGGCCTGCTTCACTGGTGTGAAGACTCATGTGGCTGAGCTGTCCAGTGAAAAATGCTGGCTGGGATGAGCAAACGGATGGGCCACAATGTGATATCATTGCGCCCACATCCATCACATTGCACGTGACAGAGCCCCGTGTCAGCTCACAACATGGGAATGCAAACCTGGGATGAGAGAGACTGACCAGTACATGGCGCAGGCCAGCACCATAGCCACCCTGGGGTGCAGGTGTGAGACTGCAGAGACCCCAAAGATGAGGATCAGGAATGGAGCCAATATACCGACAAGAGCCAAACTTTATGGCAATCTTCATTATTTAAACCAAATATAAAGCTTTGAGGATTGGGGAGAAGTTTGGAAGTCAGAAATTCAATTCTAACTCCAGTTCACATGCCAGGAAGAACTTCTTTTTAATATCATATTTCCCCTAAAAACTCTACAATTCTCCATTGAAATGGTTTGCCACCTTAATGAAAACAAGTTGGGAGAGGGATTATTTGGAATAAATGGAGTCTAAGTTTAAACTCTTCTGTTGGAAGAATGTCTTCTGGTGAAAGGGTGACTTCTGTCCAGCCCTTACTGGATACCTTCCTCTCTCTTCAGAGATGGAGCAAAATTAAAGAGCTCAGTGAGTCGATGACTTTAATATCTTAGTGCCCAAAGAGCCTGAGACTATCCATCTAGCAGAGAAGCCCACAATGGCGTGGAGGGGCAGGGGTAAGACATCTGTGGGGCTGCGAGGAATTACAACAGGCCTGGGGGGAAAAGTTCAAGTTTCTGTGCCCACAACCATTCCTTTCAGATTCCAAGGCAGAATGAGAAGGAAGGCCTGAGAGTCTGTTTTTATGATGTCCTGGAGTGGTGATGGCACACAGCAGGGTTTGAAATCACCCCTAAGACTTCAAACCTGGGGGCTGGAGCAATAGCACAGCGGGTAGGGTGTTTGCCTTGCACACAGACAACATAGCCGACCCGGGTTTGATTCCCAGCATCCCATATGGTCCCCCGAGCACTGCCAGGAGTAATTCCTGAGTGCATGAGCCAGGAGTAACCCCTGAGCATCGCCGGGTGTGACCCAAAAAGCAAAAAAAAAAAAAAAAAAAAAAAAAAGGAATTCAAACCTGGCCAACCCTCTTCCAACCAAAGGGAGAGAAAAGGGGCCCCTCGGAGACTCCTGCTCCTCACCAGTGGTCTATTTCTTACCTAGGGCTGGCATCCCTAGAGATGTGACAACCATCATGGCCTTTATCTCCAGGCACATACAAATTCTAGCAGAGTCTCAGGGACATGTAATGTGGGGTCTGTGGAGATGGAAGGTCCAGAACCACTTCATTCAGAGTTTGGCTGACTCTCTGGGGCTGGGGAGAGCAGGAGAATGTATGTGTGAAGGTAACAGCGGCCCCCAAGTCCTGGCATAAAGGGAGTAGGGAGAGGGGTTTACAGAGCCAGCTGGGGTCCAGCCTCGGTGATGTCTACCCACCAGTCTCAGAGCAGTTCCATCAAAGATGAACCAAGAGGCATGGCAGCTCCATGATGAATATCAAGAACCCAGGTTGGGGCAGAGAATTGGGACAGAAACTGATTTTTGTCCTAAATTTCTTGTCCTTTCAAAGAGGCACAGGGTTGTTTGTATATTGGCAAGACACTGTTGCTCATTAGGCCCAAACAACTGTGCCAGTAGCTTGGGGCCTAGCAAAGGTCACAAGCCTGCTCCAGCCCTGGTGGACATGTGACTGAGTGAAGTAAGTGGTTCTATTGGGTCTTTCTGGGTCTCTGATGGTGCCGAGGGCGAAACAGCTTCCTGGCTATGCTGCTCAAGATGGTGTTTTTGTTCGGAGCTGGGAACCAAGCCAGGAACTCAGACCAGTGAGGCAGGCAGAGTAGTGGCACTGAGCCCAACTGCTGGCCCCTGCTGGCCTGTGCTCAGAGTTCTAAGCAAAGGGATGTTGGCATTTAATGTTGGCATATGGTTTCATTCATTTTGTTGTACTGGTCAGCAAACTCAAGACTCTCTCAAATGTATGCTTCACATTCCCATCAACTCATCACACCTGATTTCTATGGTACACACAATTCTAAGTCCTCATGAACCATTTTAAACCTGCATTTAAATCTGCCTGCATTTGAAAAATAAAGAAAGGTTCTTTAAAAAAAAGTCAGGCATTAAAAAAAAAAGACATTGGACTTATGGAAATGCTAGTATGCCTGATTAAATAATCTTCTGCATTAAAAAAACTAATAAATGACTACATCTGTGGAAAAAAAGGTTAAGTTACAAGACAATATTAAAGAGAAATGAGCAATGAACTTTCAGGAAGTTTTATAAAGAAACACAATGAACACTTAAAAATGAGAACATGAGCAGAGACAAAAGAGCTCTGTGAGCCAGTCACAGGTGTGTGGAGCGGAAGTGATTCTCCGACAAAGACGGAAGTGGAGGATGTGAACACTGACCAACACACCCGAGTGAAATTGTGCCTTGGAAACAGACTGCAGGCAGATTAAAGAGGTGAAGGGCACCTTCCACAGAAAGAAGAAGCTCTGACAGAGAAAAATGGTTGTCTTGAAAGAAAGTTCAGAATTTAGAAATCCTCCCTGAAAGATGCCTAACCTGGCACATCCTGGCTTTCTTTGCAACAGTGTAACACCCTGAAAGAAGATCGCAGAGGAGGCAGGGGTGGGTCTCCACTGCCCAGTCCACCCATGATCACCCCCAGCTCATGGGAAAAGGTGGCTAGCCCTGAGCTGCAGAGAATAAGGGTCGGCTTGTTCGAACTGTAAAACCCAACTTGAAGGCTCTAGGTGGAACACAGAAAGCTGCCCCCAGAATAGGCTGCTTCGTGCCAATGTCCCACCATCTATTGAGAGTCCCACCCAAGCTAGTACCCAACAGAGGAATCTAACTCAGCAGCCCCTGAGAATAGCCTCCACCACCTCAATTACCAGCAAGTTCCCAGGCAACGGGCCTCCGCCGGATGGACATACTCCCACACAATGACTGCCAGCCGGGAGGCCATTGTGTGGCCTGCTGAAAGCTGTCACCCAGCTGTGTCCCCATCTGAGTCACCCTTTCCTGGGCTGGTCATGCCTGGTGGCCAACAACCAATGCAGTAGACAATCTCATCCCCAAACCAGCTGCGTCCTGGTCTTCTTGAGGCTTTTCAGATTCGTCTGACAGAGCAGACAGTCCAGGAGCTCGCTGCTCATTGCCAGAACTGCAGTTTCACATGCACACGCTCAGGGAAGGAGGTGTAGGGTACCTCCATGCTCACTGCCTACCATGCCAGTCACTGCAGCGCCCTGCTCTGCCCTCCCTGCAGTCTGTGTGGGGAGGGAGGAGGGGTAACATCAGAGACACTCACAGACAGACAGACAGACAGACAGACATGGAAGAGATGGGCAGGGTGGATGCATACGCACATGTGGTCGGGTGAGGATGGCATGCAGCAGAGGGAATGGCGGAGGGGCATGGCGAGGAGGGGCCATCGGAGCAGGCATCCTCCGGGCGGATCCAGTAGGCGCGGCTGCCTTGGTTACCTTTCTTGCTGGTGCTGCTGCCGGCGGGAGGGAAGACATCGTCACAGCCCTCGTCCTGCAGGCGCTCCTTCTGCAGCAGCTTGTCCACCCGCTGAATGATGCACTCCAGGCTCTTGTCCACGTTCAGCCACACTTTCTCCTGCCAAACCCATGGGGCCAGTGGGTCAGTTCCCCCACAGAAGGACACAGAGAACAAAGCAGACCACCCCCAGGGTTTCCACCCCGGCTTTGGGAACCAGCCCAAGATTGACAAAGATCAAGACGGCTCCCTGTTCCGTTCTCAACTGCGTCCCCTGTCCGTGGTGGGGGAGTCTTTCAAGTGGTGCTCGGGGGGCCTGAAAGCCACACCTGGGGATGCTCAGCCTGATTCTAGGGCCAGAACAGTCGATGTTGGGCCCGGTTAGGCGGTTCAGCCCAGGCACAGCAATGCTAGAGACCATCATTACCTCCAGTAATGCCCAGGGAATCATGTAGGTCTTGAGATCAACCCAAGGGAATCCTGCTTCCAAGGGATGTGCTCCAGCCCTTGGTCCTTTGTTGAAAAGCCAAGTAATATTCTATAGTCACTGTTTGTTTTGTTTTGTGCGGGGACACTGAGGGGTGGGGGAGGGACACACCTGACAATGCTCAGGGGTTACCCCTGGCTCTGTACTCAGGAATTACTCCTGGCAGTGCTCAGGGGACCTTATGGGATATCCTGACTTGAACCCAGGTGGGACACATGCAAGGTGAGTGCCCAACCCACTGTAATATGGCTCCAGCCCTGCAATGGTCACTGTTTTGACAGTCTGGGAGATGTCTGCTTGGGACTATCCTGGAGGCTTCCCGCAGCCTCTGAGTGCAGGCAGAAAGGCCACAGGCCCATGAAGGCAACCTTGTCCTATGCCCTTCCAACCAGCTCTGAGATCTGCCCAGCTGCAGAAGGATGCAATGTGTGAATAAAATGTCTCCCTCCCAGGTCAGGTAGTCCAAGAGCTTCCTACGAGGCTCAGCAGGAGCTTGGGCGCAAATGTGCCAACCCTGGAGCCACCTCTGATGGGGAGATGCTGGCAAGAGGTGAAGTATTTTTCTACCCAGCAGCAGGATGCCAGGCCCATGGACTCACCCACTCTTCCTCGTGCCAGTCTACCTGCAGAGAAGAGCGGCTGTTCCTGCCTGTCCACCTGGCCATGAGGGTGTCCTGGTCGTTTCTGAGCATCACCTGCTCTTCCTCCGTCGAGGTGGGTGAGGCCTTAGAGGCAATGTAGTCGGGCCGTGCCGCGTTCAGCCCGTGGATGGAGCTGGCCAGAAGCTTGCAGTCGCAGACTGTGACCAGCTGCCGGGTCTGTGAGCACAGCCGACACAGGGACTGAGCCTCCAGCCCGGGGCTGCAAAGAAGGCCTGTCCTCTCTGAGGGAGGCCCAGCACTCAGCCTTCTCCACAGCCCTCAGGACCTCTGAGGCAGACAGACGCACACAGTGAGAGGCCCTTCGCTGACAGCCTCTGTCAACTGTCAGTGATGTTTGCATCACTGGGGGGGGGGGGGGGGGGGGGGAGAGAGGAAGAGGGTGTGCAGAAGGCCTAAAGTCTCGCCCTCACAAATCCGTGTATGTGTGTGTGTGTGTGTGTGTGTGTGTGTGTGTGTGTGTGTGTGTGTGTATGTGTGTGTTGGTAGCAGGGGGAGGGGTGCGGGGGGGGTCCCCTGTAACCCCAGGGGAAAGCCTTCGCTGCAGCTTCTGAATCTTCTTCATCTCTTTTGTGCATCAGCATGGAGTGGCTAAAAAGCCACTGACTACCTTGCACAGAGCTGCTGGTTGTGGGAAATTCGTTTTGCATCAAGGGTTCTGAGAAGCTCATCCTTTTAGTTCTGACTACACCTTGCGCCTCAAAGTGAACCTAATTCCCATCTCTCCACTTTTCTCCACTTTGGTAAACATGTATGCATAAAGAATATGACATGTTCTGATCAGGTACACTCTCCCCAGTGGACTCTGTGTGTGTGTGGGGGGGGGGGGTTGGGGGGAGTGGTGGGAGTAGGGGGAGAGAGCAATAGTGAGTAACTTGATCTGATGCATCCACTCCCTCTGTATAGACTAATACTCTGTTTCATATGTAGGTTTAAGCTGGGTAGGGAAGGGGCCACATTTGATGACACTCAGGTATCAAACTCAAGGCCTTGAGCAGGCCAGGCATGTGTTCCAACCCCTTGAGCTATGTCTCCAGTACCTTATATTCCTAACCAAAGTTAAAGTATAGTTAATTCAAATGTGGCATGCTGATTACATTGTCCTAATCCTATCTCTTCATAGCTCATTTCCTTTTTGGGGGAGAGGGGGCAGGGATTTCAAGTATGACAGCAATATGCTGGGTAAGCAGTCACAAGAAGAGTCCAACAAGGGGCCCAGGCTCCCCACATCTCCATGAAGTGGAGTCTGGGAGTCACCTAGTCTCCTCAGGACCTTCTGTGGAAACTGAATCTAAAGCTGGAATTCCAACACCACCCCAACCTCATCCATGGTGTGGGCAGCTCAAAGAAGTCTAGCACTGCCCCCCCACCCCCGGAGCCCTTACCTTGTCTGCTAAGATGGCGAGTGTCCTTTCCAGGCCAGTGGCAGATCTGTCCTTGGCTGCTCTTGAGAGCCGCTCTGCATAGTAACTCACTTGAGTTTTCAGGGTGTTGATCTGGGCAATGATTTCCTTAGCTCGGACAATGTCCTGTGGGATGTAGATTATGGACTGGCAGCCAGATGATGTGCTAAAAAGGACAGGTGCAGATTCAAAGGGGGGGTCTCTCAAAAGTGAGAATGACAGCACACACACCCCGCCCTCGCCCACCCAAACCCCACCTGACAACCAACACAGAACAAAGCACCTGGCTCTCAAGGCTGTCCTCCAAGGCCAGGGACACTGAAGGACAAAGGGAAGTCTCAGGAGAACCTTTTTCTCTCTACTGCAAATGGTCCTAGTACAGCAGCCTTTTTTTTCTACACGTGTGCATGCATGTGTGCCTGTGTGTTTACTACATGTGTGCACATGCATGTACAAAGACTGAATCCATTATTGGATTGAAATACTGAAATGAGGACATTTCCCAGCCATTCATGATCTTCTAAGCAGTACTGAAGGGCAGACAGGATCTGAGAGGAGTTAGTTCGTGTTGCAATGAAGGGGTGCTTGCCCTGGATGCTGGTCTTAGACAAAGGAATCTCTGCACTGTTCATTAGGCCCAGCAGGTCGTGGAATTTTCTGTACACACACCCACAGGGCTTCACCTCATACCTCGGACCTGGCTTGTTCTTACAGAGCTGGGCTCCTTCCCCTCATCTCTGCTCCATAATTTACCAATTTTTAGAAATAAAGCTCTGTGAAATGGGGAGGAGGTAGAGAAGGCGCCAAGCCTGCCCCACCTGGTTTCCTCCAAGCAGCCCGTGCAGCCTGGGACCAAAGATCCGGCCCAGCCTCACCGAGCAGGCACATCAGACTCAGAGCCCCCCGCCACACACACCTCGTGCACTGGGCCTGGCCCTGGTACTTGGAGGCGAGAAATGGCACGTCCCACAGGTGAGACCCCCCACATCCATATGGTGCTATAAATGGATTTTCAGACAGCCTGCGGGTACGGCGGGGAAGCAGGGAGAAGTTCAAGGCCCTCATGCTCACGTCTCCTCCAGCAATTTGCAGCTGTGGGCTCTGGCAGAAGGGGCCTCTCAGGCTGGGACCCAGGAGTTCTGGGTCACTCTTCCCCAGCCACCTGCAGGCCCAGCTGCTGCAACCCTGTTCGCTTGCTCCCCACTGTACCAGGGAAGGAACCTCGGGCCTCACTCACAAACTTCTGGTTTTCTAAGCCACACGCGACAGGGGACCAGTGAGTGACCTTCCCTGGGTTCCTGGGTACCCACTACCACGGTTCTAGAATATGTGAGTGAAGAAATCTCAGGGCTATACTTCCTCTGTGTGAATGTAGTGAAACTGCGACTTCTCTATCCAGAGGAGTCCTGAGTCTCACTTCCCCCGGGTGGGGAGTTCAGATGCTGAGGGAGCTCCCTGCTGCCCCCTGGGGTAGGGGGTGGTGGCTGGACTGTCCTTGCAGGGTCTCAAAATACAAGCCCTAGGTGCCCAACAGTGTCTCCACCTTCAGGTTAAAAAAAGGCCCCGGGCTGGTCCCCTCGGAGAGCTGCCCTGTGGCCTTGGTGGAAGGACTCACCAGCCACTACTTCCACTGACAGGAGGACAGGAGGGTCACAGGGCTAAGGTCACATTCCCCACAGGCTCCTTGGTGGGAGTTGGGTCAAGAAACCTCCCCCATCTTCCCTTCATGGGCCTTGGGGCAAGCATGCAAAAACAGAGAGCTAAAGCACCCAGAAAGACAAGGCGAAGCCCGAGCCCACACACAGCAGAAGACAATGAATCTGCCAGAAGCCCATGCAGCAGACCACAGTGAAGCCTGCGTGACCCAACAGGAGTCATTCCACAGCACAGAGGACACTGAATGACGGTTCCAATCTGCAAGCACTCTTCTGAATGAATAGCTGCGCTTGGAGAGGATTCCCTCCTCAAAAGGGGATCTTCGAACTGGAATGTCTAAAGACCTGCCATTCCCAGGGCCAAGACTGAGAGCACAGATGCACTCTGTGCTGCATGCTTTGAGGCTGTAATTAATGGGGCATCAAGAAATATAGACCCGACCCGACCACACCCCGTATTCTTAGCAGCCACCTTCTAGTAAGGGTAAAGTAGGATCTCCATGCACTGGGAGGGAGCTGGAAGGATCAAGCCCAGAGAGCTGCTGGCAGGGGTGGGTCAGGAGTCTAGAAATGTGTATTTTTGATCACCTGTCCTGAAATGAGGCCTCAGCTGAGAGAACGGGAGGAGCATCCCCCAGACTGTCACTGTCCAACTCTGTCCACTGCAGAGCTCCAAGAGTACTTTAGGCATAACTCTGGAAGTTCCTGAGCCTCCCCAGCTCCATGATATTAACTGGAAATGCCCAGTCACGTTTTAAAAATTTGCGCAAATAATTATGTCTTTAAGACGAGAAAGTAGCTTCATTCCTATAGGAGATGAAAGGGAAGAGTTCTGTATTTCCTCCCCCATCCCGTTTAGGTGTTTGGGCCACAGCAATGGTGCTCAGGTGCTATTCATGGCTCTACTCAGGAGTGACCCCTGGCCACACCCAGGGAACCATATGCAGTGCCAGACATTCCAATTAGGGTGAGCCCTAAATTCCTTCTAAAAGCAGCCAGAGAGAGATTTCCAATCATAGCAGTGGGTTGACCTGGATTCCCAGCAGGGGTTTCAGGGTGACCCAGCCAGGGATTCACCCTCCTCCTGGGAAGAGCTGAGTCCTTGTTCAGTGACTTATTTTTGGTGGGATGGGGTTTGGGCCATACCCAGTGGTGCTCAGGCATCACTCCTGGAAGGCTCGGAGTGCCATATGGAATGCCAGGGATGGAACCTGGACAGGTTGCATGCAAGGCCAGTGCCCTACCCGTGGTACTCTCTCTCTGGCCCAGTCCTTGTTCTATGAAGGAGGCATGAACTGCCGCCAGCTTTGGAAAGTGCAGCGGGAGATGGGCTATTCATTACCAAAGAATGTTGCAGTTGGAGGAGAGAATTGTACTCATGAAGCTGTAACTAGGAGCCCCAGTGGCACTGAGAGAGAAGCATGGCAAGGAGGTGAGACAGCACCGGCTTTCCCTGCATGGGAGCAAGACCCCAACAGACACACTCTCCACGGACAGAAAACTCACCAACACTCCTCAAAACTGCTAAAGAAAAGAACCAAAATGAAGTATTAACAATTTGTTATAAAATACCAAACGTAACACCCCAGACTAAAAAGGCCAACTTTCCTCCTGTCAAAATAGGTTCAGATATGGGTTAAGGTCCCAATTCTTAAGGATGAGCGGACATAATAGCCCACTGTGCTGATCCATGAGAGTCACACCAGTGCCTGTGGTCAAGCCCCAGGGAGATGGCCCACTGGAGGGCAGCTCACATGGGCGCTGGAAGGAAGACCTCAACAAGAAAACTATTTCTGTGGTGGAGTTATGACGTTCAGAGGAAGCTAAGTAACTATGATTATTTTTTAGAAAACGAATCAGACACTTTGGGAATAAGGAGTCTGGAAGAGAAGGTGTGGGGCTCCTCGTATCAAGTTTGATCTTCCGGGTACAGAACACTGAGCTGGAGCCCGGCTGCTGGCTTCCTGCTCCAGGGCCTGCCTTGGGCCTCCCACTCACACCTCCACACAGCCACATGCAATGAAGCGACAGACACGCTAGATCGCCAGCAGGCTGTGCAGAGCTGTGGTGTGTACAAGAAGCTGCATCTTCAATTCCTGGAGGTACACGGACCCCAGAGAGCCGGGCTGGCTGCCAGGTCTGTGAGGGGGAGCCCTTGCTGAAGATTCACTGGGAAGGTAGAAGCTTGCTTTCTCCCCAAGGCACTTCCTGCTCTTCCTCGGCTCTAGGCAGCTTGTGTACCACAGTGCCCTAGCTTGTGCCTTCTGGCTTGCCCAGCCAGCCTTGCCCTCATCACCTCAGCCCAGCGACTCTGTACCCAGCCATTCACCTCATCTCTGATCCACTCCAAGATCATTTTCCTCCATTCTGGTCACAGGAGAGTGAAGGTGATGGTCCACCAGTTTGGGGATGGTACTCGCTCCACCTGACCTCCTTGGCAGATCTTCATGCTATCTGGGCCCATGCTTGACCTTCCCTCAACCCGTTTCATTTTCCCTCTCCTTCCCCATCTCTTTCTCCTTCTTCCCCCACCCCTCCCTCTCCCTTTCTGTGTCTTTGGGCCCACCCAGTAGTGCTCAGGGTTCACTGCTGGTTCTGAGCACAGGGATCACTCCTGCAGGCTCAGTGACCGTATGCGGTGATGGGAACTGAACCTGCATCAGCTACATGCAAGGCAAGTGCCCTTCCAACTGTACTGTTGCTCTGGCCCCCTCCTATTTCATTCTCAATAGAGAGTGAGCAGGAAACACTCTCCAGGTGATTTTCAATTTGTTGTTCAAGTCAAAGGGACAAGCCCCCACTGCCGGCCACTGGCCCACCCACCCAGCTCAGCTGCACACACAGACAGGAGCACAGGCACCACGGCAGCGCCTCCAGCCACGCAAAAGCAGACCACACGGCTGGATGCTTTGTGCAGTCAGATTTTATTTTGTTGTTACTGTTGTGCTGTTTGAGTAAGCATCAGACGATTCTACAAGGACCACAAGGCACTCTCTGGGTACTTACTGTTTCTTGGTCTCTTCAAATTTGTGCAGCTTTTTGCGAAGACCTCCTGACTTAAAGCCCTGGCAGTGAGCAGCGGGCGCTCCGATGGTGACAACGTCGTAGTTCTGATCTGAATGACAAAAAGCTCTCCTCCGTTACTCTGGGCTCAGACCTGTGGACAAGCCAGCTACAGGGAAATGCACACAGCTCTGGGGTCCAGCCCCTCCAGCCCAAAGCCAAACAGCTGAGGGTTCCCTGGGTCCCACAGCAGGGGTGAGCTAATGGCACCAACAGTTTGTAAGAAAGGGGTTGTAATGCCTTGAGCAGGGTGCACAGGGAGTCACAGTGACTTAGGCAAGTGTCCAATCTGCATCCTCCCTCCTGAATGACCCTCTTCAGAGAAGAGAAAGGGGCCTGGGCTCTGTGCCCAAGTCCAGTGAGGAGAGCTGGTGACAGACTGCTTCTCCTCTGAGTTGTCCACACACAGAACAAAGGGGGCAACTTAGGGACCTAGTTCTTAGAGGAAAGAGCTAAGACATGATGTGAGAAGAGGGCAGAAAACTAGTTACCTGATCCTCCGTCATCCTGAACTCTCATCCTTTGTATGTGCAAATTTGTAGGGACAAATTCTAACTTTTTATCTGCTTTCAAACTGCTTGCTTTGAAAGACGGACCTAAGAAACAGAATATGAGAAAACAAAAATCACCAATTGGTAGCCTGCATGGACAAAGGGTGAGCAGAGAGGACGGGGCTTCAGAGAAGCAGTCTGGGGTGGCTGCGACCTGGGACATTCCGAATCACCCAGGAACACATTTTATTTCCAAACAGGCGGATGAAATGCTGAAGGAGGGCAAGGACCCGGGTGTTGGTTAGTAAGTGGAGCCAGGCAGAACCAGCCTCAGGGGGTTACAGCAGAACGCCGAGCCTGCCCATGACTTGGCTCTCCTCAGGGAGGTAGGACATGGTTTGTCACCTTGGCAACACCTCTATAAAAAGCACACGGGCCCATGCCAGGCAATGCCTGTTCCAACTCTGCACTGCCAGCCCTGAAGATCTAAGAAAATGGCTCAACTGCAGACACCATCTCAATTCTGAAGGTGATGAAAGGCCTATTCATTACCCCAGATCTATCAAGATGAGCAAATGCCCTGGATTCTGGCCTGAAGTGCCAATGTAAACACAACCCCTTGTTTGCCTATCTGTACTGCAGACAGATAGGCAGAGGGCCCTAGTAATGTGCTTTTAGGAAATCAAACTTAAGAAGAGACTGTCTAGCCCTGAAGTAGCCCAGAGGCATGAAGACCATGTCCCTTTGAAATATAAATTTTGAGCTCTCTGGAGAAGAGAAACTGAGACAACTCCCACAGGCAGAAATTCAAGTTCCTACTCAGGGAACTGTGACTTTCTCAGAAAAGGAAAAACTAGAGAACAATATATGAAATGTGAAAAGACCATCAACAGTACAAGGGATGAAGATTATGAGCAGATTGTCAACAGTGCAAGGTTTTCCTGTGACAACACCCAGACTGACTTTTATGTACACAAAACCCCAGAATAAGACATTTGGACGATGTGCATAAAAGCTCTTCAAGCCCGTGCTTTCCCTGAACACATATCTCATTGACTTGTCTCTATGTCTCCTTTCTTGCTTCCACTCTGGAGAAGCCCATGTTCTCTCTCAAGTGCTTACTTTCTTTCTTTTTTTGGGGGGTGGGGCTGGGGGAGGAGTCACACCTGACAGTACTTAGGGCTTATTCTTGGCTCTGCACTCAGGCAACACTCTTATCAATGTTCAAGGGGCCAATTGGGATGCCAGGGATCAAACCTGGGTCAGCCATATGCAAGGCAAGTGCCATACTGCTGTACAATCGCTCTGCCCCCAGCCCCTCACATCTTTCTAGTAAAGTAAGTAAAGTAAAGGCCCTCCCGTTGATCATCGATTTGCTCGAGCGGGCCCAGTAACATCTCCATTGGAGACTTTGTTGTTACTGTGTTTGGCATATCGAATACGTCACAGGGAGCTTGCCAGGCTCTGCTGTGCGGGCGAGATACTCTCGGTAGCTTGCCGGGCTCTCCGAGAGGGGCGGAGGAATCGAACTCGGGTTCGGCCATGTCGGCTACACGCAAGGCAAACGCCCTACCGCTGTGCTATCGCTCCACATCTTTCTAAGTAAGTTTTATTTAATAAAAGCTCCCTTACTTCACTGTTTTGCCTCCTCATGAAATTCTTTTCTGAGAGGGAAAGGCAGTGGATATAAACTGTCTGCATTGAAGGTAGGATTGACTTTCCTTTCTGGCAAAGAGTAATTCCTTACTCCACCATGAGTCCATGGTTGCCCAAGTAACTGGGTAGCAGGGATCACCCCCAATGCTGTGCACCCCCAATGCTGTGCAGGTACAGCATGGCAGTTGCCTCATGGGTGGGACATGAGCATCCATGTCATGTAGATGCTCAATGCAGACTTTACCAGTCCTGACCTAGGCCAGGCATTTCCTCAAGCACTGGTGGTCCTAATAGACTGAGCAGAAAGGCAGAAGCATCCTTTTCTCTAATCTACCTCCCTCACTTCCCTCTTGACAGAGCCACTGGCAACACCTGGGTGGTTCAGGAGGCTGGACAATGTGGTGGAACTCATTACATGAAGAATCACACGCCCAGGGCAGAAAGGGATTGCAGAATAAATGAACAGTTACCAACAAAGAAATAAACATCCAATCAAGTGGAAAAGGTAAATATGCTTCGCCAGGTCCAACACAAAGTAGACCCTCTCCATCTTGCATTTGTGACAGGCTGTGGTCAGGCACACTCTATTCAGAGCATGGCCCTCAATAGCAGCATCTGGGTAGCCTGGAAGAAATGCAGATTACAGATTCCCTCTTTGGACGAGATCCCAGAGGGCTCAGGGGCCACTCATACTTGGGGCCCCTTCCATGCTATGAGGGTTGTGGAGAGGGTGGTGTCCCAGCCCTGGCCTCCCACAGGCAAAACACATGCTCCAGCTCCACTGGGCCATCTCTCTACTTTCCCTGGACCCATGATCTAGTAAAGTCATGTAGGAACGTGGTGCACACTGAATACCAGAGATGCTCTCCAAGCACAAAGGCTATGTGCAGGACTTCCCTTCCCCAGTGCAGAACTACAGCACAGGGAACTCCAGCCAATATTCCTTTGAGTAAGCACTGCCATTTCTCCAAGAAGTATATATAAACCTATTCTTCAGATGCAAACCAGAGCCAGGCCATGGCTAGATTGTCATCATTTCTGCATTTTGCTTCTTCTCACCTAAGCTCATACACAGGTTTACATGTTGTGTGTCAAAACTCCACTAAGAACTTAAGATTTCCTATCCAAATCAGGATGACAATGAGATATCATCTCACATCAGTGAGACTGACACATATAAAAACTGGCAATGAACTGATCTGTGTTGGTGGGGATGAAGCCACAAAGGAACGCTGATCCACTGCTGGTGGGAATATTGTCCAGTTCAAATACTATGAAAAACAGAATGGAGATTTCTCAGAAAAGTAAGAATAGATCTGCCCTGTGACTGAGCAATTCAACTTCTTGGTATCTATATCCAGGACACAAAACTATTTATTCGAAAGGACATATGTACCCCATTTTCCGTTGCGGAACTTAGCACAATAGCTAGGATGTGGAATCAACCCGAGTGTTTAATGACAGATGAGCAGATACTGAAGGTATGGTACATACACACCATGGAATATGCGATTCACTGCAACCTGGATGGAATTGGAGGGTGTAATGAAATCAAAGTAAGACAAAGGAAGACAAATACTAGGTTTGTTTGTGGTATATCAAACATACTTATTGGTGTTATACAGAATAACAAGACAATGGAATGCAAGGTATCAAATATAGGGGGAGGGGAATACCTAGATTCCCCTAGACCCTAGATCACTGACACTGACCTGAGAAGCATAGGGAAAGAAAGAAACTGAGGGGGAAAGGAAGATAAGAAAAGGCGAATGCGGGGGTTGGGGGGGGGGGTAGCAGGGGCAGGGTCCTATGATTATACGTGTACATCTGAACCAGAAAACCAAAAACACTGAAAGCCAGAGAGCCAAACTACAACAACCAAATTGAAAGTGTGTTTACCATAAAGGCAGAGTGGAAGCTGGGGTTGGGGGGAAGAAACTTGGGACCCTGGAGGAGGGAAGCTGACACAATGGTGGGATTGGTGTTGGAACACTGGACATCTGTTCTGTAAATCACGGTTCCTTAATAATAATAATAATAATAATAATAATAATAATAATAAGTTAAACAAATAAATGAAAAACCGTAATTCTTTGGTTGGAAAAAAAAGGACTCAGGGTTTTCTTAATTAAATTGGCATGAACCAACTCAAGCCTAAAGTTTCTTTAGAATGGGGAAGGAGAGAAAATTGCAGATAGAGAATTAAAAAAAAAAAGAAAAACAAAAAGCAAGTACTCTATTTGGAAGGAAAAAGAGAACAAAGGAAGTCTTAAACTACTCTGAAAGTATTTCAAAATTCAAGCCATTTGAGCAGGTACTTTCATTTTTCTGAGTCATAACATGGAGAGTTCCTCTTAGGCAGTTCACATTTTCTACATAAGTACTACTGAGTTTTTACACACCGGACATCCAGAAAGCAAAGGACTAATGCTACACTCAGGTGCAACAGAAGACATAGAGCATGAGATCTTGCCTCTCCTAAGCTCTCTCCAGTGGCTCTCTTGGCAGATGACACCATAGAAGAAATTCTCAATGCAATTCACACACTTTCCCCTTAATTCAGATGTGAAAACTCCAGTTTGAAAGAATTCACACCTACATGAGAATCTATTTTTAAAAGTCTAATAGAACATCTGTCAGTGAGACAGTATTTGAGCGAGACAGGGTGCGGAATTTCTCGCCAGGCAGTACAGAACTCGGCGCCCACCTTTGTACTGATGGAGGTCAGTCAGGTTTTCCTGGTAGGTGAGGATGATGGTCTGGTACTGCGTGACAATCTGGCGCCGGAGGCTCTCCCAGCATGGTGACAGTTCCCCCAATTCCTCCAGTTCACACACTCTGGAATGGAGAAGACACACACACATGCGCATACACATCAGACCACAGAGCCTGCTTCCTTCCGTGGGGAGACACAGGCAATACAACCAGTGAGGAGAACCGAGTGTCCGTGGGAATCCTACAATGAGGAAGCACAGATGCCAGTGATGCTGCGCATCTCCCAGGACCAAGGCAGACTCCTGGAGGAGCAGCTAGCTATTTGAAGGGCAGACCATTGGCACGTGAGAAAGTAGAGAAACTTCTCACGACCACTCAAACACTGGAGGAAAATGAGTGTGAGGTGGGGAGAGGGCAGCTGTGGGAGCCTGCACAGCCACTAAGCAAGTACCTAAACCTAGAACCTGTCAGCAAAGGCACGACCCAGTCACCATGAACTAAAATATGCACTGAATGGAAAAGGCAGCTCCCCTTTGGGCCTTCACAGCAACCACCCCGGGGGTCAGCTGAGGTCTGAACTTTCTTCCAGCAGAGCTGCCAACAGACGGCCCTGCACCTGGGTTGCAATAATAGGCCCTTCAGGTCCATCATCACCTGTGCTGGGTAGGGTACAAGGACTATGGAAACTGGGTCCTGACTTTTGCCGTCAATGTAAATGATGACCTGCCTAACTCTAGAAATGCCACAGGCAAGGGTGGAGGAAAGAGAAGAGTAAGAATCTGTTATCTCTAAAAAATAAAATTGCTATTAGGACTGAAATGCAAGCTAGAGAGACAGCCAAGGGAAGGTACTACCTTGCATGCAGCCAACTCGTTCAATCTCTCTCCCCAGTGCACTAGGGTCCCTGAGCCCTACCAGCAGTGATCCCTGTGCACAGAATAAGGAGTAAGTCCTGCACCCCACAATTTATTAAAAAAAAACTGAAATAATAACTATATAAACTTTTGGACTCCGCAATAAATAAAAGCTACATAATCAGAATAACAAAAATAAGAGATATTTTTATATATATATCAAAACTGTAAGGATCAACATTATTGTATAAGTGTGTGACATTCCCTCCCCCACCACAAAATATATTAATTTTATTTGTTGGTTGGTTGGATTTTTGTTTTTGGTCAACACTCAGAGATGCTCAGAGCTTACTCCTGACTCTGTATTCAGGATCTTCCAGGCAGGGATCAGGGGACAATAGGGGGTGCTGGGGATCAAACCTGAATTAGTTGGCCGCATGCATGATCAGTGCCCTACCCACTGTATTATCTCTCCAGCCCAAAACTGAATGGATTCTGCACTTAGATGACACCAAGTCCTGGGGAATGAGGCCATATTTTAAATAACAATATGCAAACTGAAGGTCTATGGAAAGAGAGATCACAGCTTTGTGACAAATATAAAAAAGCTGTAATTCTTTTCAGATATTTCTATAAAATATGCACTTAATGGAAAAGGCAGCTCACGAAATCATTCTTGACATCTTTCTCTGCACTCAAATTTCTTTCCTGATAAAATACTGCACTGTGTTCTGCCTTCTGGTGCCAGAGTGTGTATGGCAGGTAGAAATGATGGCCTGTTTCCTGGCAGTGAAGAGACATACTCTGCAGTGCCCGAATCCCCCTCAGGCCTCTCCCGCCTGAGCTGGGGGATGTGGAGGACTGAACTGGCCACTGGCTGTTGACAACTGACTCAGCCACTCCTGGGTAGGGAACAGTGATTTCTAACTTGCTAAGCCCAGTGAGAGGGGAAGGTATAGACGGCTGGGCTGAGCTGGGCACAGGGACTGAGTTGGGCACACAGTGGGGTGCTCGGGGTGGGGGGGGGACTTTCAAAGTCCTGGCCTGGAACCCCTGAGACACAGATGAACAGGTTGAGACTTGGCAAGCTTAGGACACAGGGCAGGCATGTGGCAGAGGCAGGGTTTGAGCCTGGCCTGTCTAACTACCCACACATCTTCCGGCCCTCTGGAGAAGGAGGGCCCGGGCCTCACCTGGCTGCATCTTCCTCCAGCAGGAGCTTCACAAACTGCCGGGGCACATGCAGAGAGAGCACGCTCTCTGCCATCTGCTCCAGGATCCGCAGGTGGTTGCCGTCCGTTGTGGGGAACCGGTACATGCGGCAGATGGCACCACCGAACACTGAGGTGGGTTGGGGGGAGACAGAGACTCGGTGAGCTACCTGGGACCAGGTCTCTTGGAGCCCCAGTTGGTGCTGAAAGGGTCAAAGCTCCTGCTGTTCATCTCAAAGAAACAGAACCCCCCCCAATCACCAAGTATCTGACCCTTAAATGCTCCTCCATTGGCACATGCACTCCGCATGTCTCCAAATACCTAACCCTATAGTGGACAGGGTGGGAGGACCAATCAAAGGAGAAGCTTTTTTCCCTGGAGCATGCCCCTCTCTAATCTGGCCAAAGAATGGCCCCTCAATGGCAGCACAGGGTGACAAGTAGAAGTTGTGGCCAGAAAGGAAAAGTGACGTAAGCCCAGGCAGACACACACATGAGTGGCCAGAGGACAAGCAAAGAAGCTCTTTACCTGATTTCAGTAAAGTGTCTTTCCTCAAGGAAGCGTATTTGGATCGAATTCCCAATGCCTCTGTCAAGCTTTCGTCAACAGGCAGAACCATCTAATGATGTACAAAAAAGTACAAGAAAACCGTGAGACTCAGATCATTTCAGAGCCCTGAGGAGAAATGATGGCTGTAGGCGCAAAAGTGACAGTATGCACCTTGCACACGGCTGACACGGGATAGATCCCTGGCACCATATATGGTCCACTGAGCCCAGAGCCAGGACTAAGTCCTGAATACAACCAGTGTGGCACCAGAACAAAAAAAGAAAGAAAAAAAGAAATGAAGGCTACAGTGTACAAGAATTCTATAATCACATTCATCAAAATTCTACAATCAAGCCCAGAGTGATATTATCCTTCTATATGAAATGTGCTGCCCTATGCACCAAACTTAACCTCTATATTCCACACAGAGTTTTCTAGAAACACGTGTCTCATGACTAAGTCACTCCACCTTGTGTTTCAGTGTGTTGATGTGTACAATGCAGGGATTATTTTTAGAGCTGACATTCTGGGTTGAAATTTGGGGCACAATGAAGTAACGCTGTACTTTCCAATGTCGACTTGCCAGGCTGTGGTTCTCAGACTACAAAGCTGGTCTGAGAGCTCCCATTTGTCAATGTGAGGGACTGAGAGAGAGAGAGAGAGAGAGAGAGAGAGAGAGAGAGAGAGAGAGAGAGAGAGAGAGAGAGAGAGAGATGTGGGGGTGGGGAGAAAGACTGAGGAGAAGCTGGAGAGGCATGTGGCCACGTGTGGGGAGAGGGTCTATGGGAGACAGCGTGGGACACAGGAGTGCCCATGGCAGGAAGACACTGGCACCGTATGGAGATAATCTGAGTCTCAGCTCACATCCCCACACACCACCCCTCCCTGCTCCTGCCTTCAGCATCCAGCCAGGCTCTTGTGCATGCCTCCACCACTCTCCAGAGACAGCCAGTGGCAGGTTCGCGAGGGTCCAGTCTTCCCACTCTGGAAACATGCTGGGGCAGTAGGGTGAGGGCAGGACATCAGTAGCAGCAGACCCAGTCCTCACTGTCCCCCACCACCCGACCTTAGAGGTGAAGTCCATCTAGGCAAGAGTCAGCAAATGGCGAGCTCACCCTTCCATTGACAGTGTCCACAGAACGGGTCGCGGGGGCCCGCTGGTCTGACTTCTCCTCCATGTGCCAACCAATCACAGTGATGTTACCAACTCTGTCACTCTCTGCAGACCTACAAGAAGCAACAGGCATGGACAAGTGTCACTAACACTACGCTCCTTTTTCTGCTTCGATACAATGCTCAGGCAGCCAGTGTTCCCTCATACACAGACAGGATGCAGACAAGGCATGCCCTGAACACAAAGGCCTGTGTCCATCAGGGACCACCCAGGAGCATCATGCGTGCCTGCTGACATCAGGAGGAAGGAGGCAACACTTGCTGAGGAGCTATAGTAGCCCCTAGCTGACCACTGTCCCCAGAGCAAGGAGACCAGTTTAAGGGAACTTGCACAGCAGTTTCTCTTGGCACCACACCCCTTTCTCCTCCTTCCCATCCTACAGCTCAAGCTATAGCTCCAAAGCCTAGGCCTGGACTCACATAAGCTGAGGTCAGCCAGGGTTTCTCAGAGCCTTAGATCCTGATGTGCTACTGACTTTAAGGAGCTGCATCCCTCAGACCCTGCACAGTGGCTGCTGATTCCTGAGCCCTTAGATCCTGCACAGTGACTGCTGACCGCTGGGCCCTGAGACCCCGCACAGTGGCTGCTGACCACTAGACCCTTAGACTCAGCATGGTAACTGACTGCTGCATCCCTCAGACCCCTGCACAGTAGCTTCTGACCGCTGGGCCCTCAGATTCTGCATAGTGATTGCTGCTCTCTGGACCCATCTTGATTCACCCAGGGAAGACCTGGAGACCCCCTTTGTAATCTAAGATGTCAGCTTTTTCCAGATTCTAAATTTTCATGGAGCCACATCAATCCTCTCTGGGTGTCCTGCCCGTGGTCTGTTGCATTGCTGCTAGCTCTTTAGAATGGCAGTCAGTTCTCGCTTTTAATCCTAACTCAGCTAGAACTAGCTCTGGACAGTGATGTGCCCACAGCATTTCTCTAACAGCCTGTTCCCACCTCCATCCCACTCCTTCCTTTATCCCGAGCTGCTTCTCCAGACACGTAAGGGCCCATGCAAAGCTTCCGTAATGTCCCCTGCCAGCTACAATGACACTTCAGCACGGGACACAGTTTGGCAGGAAACTGATCTCGGGTGTCAAAATGGAACCTGCCAGTACTGCGCCAGTGTTTCATACTCTGAACAAAGGACACTATGTCAGGGTACAGTTGAACTGGCACAGGCTCACATGGTCTGCCACCTTCCTCCAGGGCACAGCAGTCCCTGCTCCATGCCCACCTCCTACAGGTTTTTACTGAGTGCCAGGCACTGTTTGAGGGGCTCAAGGTAGAGCAATAATGCAAAAGAGAAAAGAATCCTTGCTCTCCAGGAGATGATGTGCTACTGCAGAGGGGAGGAACAGCAGTTCAATAAACTCCGGGTTTTGAGACACATGTCTGCATGTGACTGTCAGTCTGCATACAGCTGTGTGAGCTCCCTGTCAATGCTGTAGAATCCCATGCCTGGAAGGGGCCTCTAGCAGGATGGGTCTTGTGCCTGCCCCAGAAGAAACCAGTCCCCTCTGACTGTCTTCTGGTGAAGGGCACTTTCCCACAGAAAATGGGCCTTCATCTGCCCCCAGGTCCTCTCATAGGAATGAAGGTAAACACCAACCTTAGTGTTAAATGCAGCCTGTGATGCTTGTCCTGGAGCAGATCTTTGACAATGAATGTTCCAGAGCCCAGCAAATACATCTGAGTGGGAAAAGAGTATGAATGTGACTGTTCTGCCACTGCTCCAATCACCAGGACCCCAGAAAGGTGGCCAGCTACTTCAGACAACACTCCCGACCCACATTTCAGGAGTTCTGTAAGGATGGTTCAGAAACTCCCCGCTAAAAAACTGGTTTGGGGGCTGGAGCAATAGCACAGCGGGTAGGGTATTTGCCTTACACGCGGCCGACCTGAGTTCGATTCCCAGCATCCCATATGGTCCCCTGAGCACCGCCAGGAGTAATTCCTGAGTGCAGAGCCAGGAATAACCCCTGTGTATTGCTGGGTGTGACCAAGAAAGCAAAAAAAACAAAACAAAACAAAACAAAAAAAAACCTGGTTTGTACACAAGTTAATCTGTATTCCTCCCTCAGATGATTACAAAACTTGAAAGGGGGGAAGAAAACTCCGCCAACCATAACAGGCTACTTAACTGTTCCCTGAGATCTGTCTTTGACGTCATATACGGAGAGTTTTATTTGTGTCATCTGATTGATGAGAGAGTCTTGAAAGAAGGCAATACTGCTTAAAAATATAGGGTTGTTGGTTCCCTAGAAAAGAATCAGAACACAAATAAGCTCCTTATGAAACACATTTTCAAAATGAAAAACGCTATCACCCAAGTGAGGTCAACAAAATGCACATGAAGGCTTAAATAAATGCAAATAAACAAAAAGTTGCTCTTCCAAAGACCCAGAGAAACTTCTAGAGCCAAGAGGCCTCCACACACGCTTCACACTCAGAGCTTTCCTAAAAGGGAAACCGTCGAATGTCAATATGTGCGCTCCCCCTTGCAACTTCATGTGAGTCCTGTATTTAGACATGATACTTAACAGTCATTCCTTTGAAGAGAGAGAACAAAAGGGAATGCCGGGGTGGGGGATGGGGGTGGGAGGGGCACTGGGAGCCATGGTGAAAATGGGCACTGGTGGAGGGATGGGTATTTGATCATTGTATAATTGAAACCCAAGCACAAAAATCTGTAAGTCTACAACTGTACCTCATGGCGTTTCACAAATAAAAATTAAATAAAAAAAAGAGTCATTCCTTTGAGATACTCAAAGGAAAGGAAAAGAAACAGCTCAAGTTGCTTCTCATTTCCACAAAACCAGGTTTGGAATAATCAAGGTTGTTCCAAATAATCGCAATTAAAGTAATTCAGGAGATCCTTTTCTTAAATAATGAGCTGGCAGATCTAAGCCTATGATCTGCTAGACCACAAACCCACACCAAGCCCCCTCTGTCTGCCCCTGCAGAAGGCCATCACTGCCATGACAAGCCTCAACAGCCACTGTGGTGCCTCCTTCTCTGGTGTCCTCCAGCACCCAGTGACAGGCTTCTGCAGGTACCTCCAAAGTCCCTCTCATGTGCCCCGTCATTCTACTCCATCCCACTGTTGATCTGGGCCTACATCAGCCCCCAGAGGACTCTGGTCTAGCACCTCCCTGAAACGGACCTGGTCAGGGGGCTCCCATGAATGAATCCCTGCCCTGGCCCACTGCCAACTCCCTGGCCTGCCCTTCACGTGCCCCTCCCTTGTTCTCTCACTGTGCCTTCTGCCCACGCGGACCAGGAGAGAGGCCTTCCCCAACCCAACACTCCTTCCTTTTGTCCTACTTTGGCATAACTACCACAGAACCTATCATGTTCTTCACTCTGTAGTCTCCAAGCTGATGGCACGGGCATCTTCTGGGAACATGTGAAAAATGCACTCTTTAGCCCCAACCAGACCTATTAAGTCAGAATTTCACTGTGCCCCACCATAGGTGGGGCATCCTCAAAGATGAATGGGACTCCCCCACACACACACCCTTTCCTTTTCCTTCTGGTGCTGTTCACAGCTCCCCACTCGAACACCTCCTACACTCTGCAGGATAGATGGAGATAATTTCATCTCTGCCTCCAGGATGGTTTGACTCACTGGGGTCAGGGACTCAACGGTCATTGCATCCATGCACAGCTAAAGTACTGGAGCAGGAGAGGTAGTACACAGGATAGGGCATCTGCGTGCAGCCACCCTGGTTCTATCTCTGTCACTGCAAATGCCCCATGAGCCCAGCAACAAGTGGCCCCTGAGCACCGCCAGGCATGGCCCCAACATCCCCTCCCCCCAAAAAAACAAATCAAAACTATTCACTTAAACTTGGAAACAAAATTTAAGAGAATGAAAGGTCAGTATGTAACCTAGAATGTAAAACTGGGGAAGAGGAAACACAGTTTAGGTTTATTTGAGATTGTGAGGGAATCTGCAATTCACTCAAAAAACCTAAATCACAAATGAAGCCCTGCAAAATCTCATATCAGCAACTCCTACACTTGGTTTTATAGCTTACATAATGTGCTCAATCGTCTAAGAGAATTTTGTAAAATTCCTCCAGTGAGTATGTATCATTTAATGCCAAAAATAAACTCATACAACTCAAAAGATCATGAAAATTAAAAGCCATGAATACGGACAGGTCTAGATCTGCAGTCATGTTCATTTCTGCTTCCCCACTCGCAGGGATCTAAAAGCTTATAGGCAAGGATTGGGACTCAGAAGTCTGTGCATAGGGGGATGTCCCAAACAGAGAGTGAGTCAGTAGTTAACACTCTCCCAAACTTCAATTAATGAGCATAATTCTCTATGAGTAGTAGTCTTTTGGAAGTGACAAGGAAAATTTAGGGCTTACCTTGGAAAAAGCAATCAAATGTACAGGATCATTATTCAAAAATACCAGCCAATAGCTAATCAGTAATTGTAAAGAACATGCAAATACTGCTACAGGAATAAATACAATGAAAAATGTACTTAAAACCCACTTACAACCCAACCATTCACATAAGCATAACCCCGGGTGTGTGTACATGGGTGGAGGGACAAGGGGGTGTGAGTGTGGACAGAGCAGCAGCACCCACCTCGATGATCTCCGTCTGTGCATGCTTTGTCCAGAATGCCTGAGGGGGTGTGGTCACACTCACAGCCACAAAACTATTTGGTTTTCGATCTAGCGACGGAGTATGAAGCTCACTGCAAGCTATAAAAACAAGGTGAGAAAGATATAAATCCTTTAAAATCAAGCTCCATTTGGTTCTGTTACAAAGAGAAGCAAAGAAACAGCCATCCCATCCTTCCAAGTAAACAACAAATCAAAGAAATGAGATGATTATATTGTCAGTTATCAGAGGGAGCTGATATTTAAAATTTGAAACAATCTTTAATCATTTGGCTCTCTACATCCCCAGGAGAGCGAAACATTGACTGCAAGTGAAGGCTGAGCTAAGGAGTGTTCTCTATGTCCAGGGAATGCAACTAAGAGCCAACAATCTCATACAGGGGGCTGATGCATAAAGTCTGCCCTAACTAACTAACTGAGCTAAGCAAATGCACTAAGCAGACACCAAGTCTATGAAATCAAAACACGGCTGCACGCATTCTATAAAGACGGGTTAAATCTAGGCCTATGGTTACCCCATGGATAATTGTGTGAACGTTTGTTGGAAAAAATTAAAATTTGATGGCAAGATAAAGCTTTAAAAAAAGATCATGGTTCATTGATTTCCTTATAAGTGTCCTATCAAATGGAAGATTACTAAAAATAAAGCTGTCAGAATTTGAAGTAACCTATAGGAATTTTCCAAATAGAAGATTCATTGTACTAACATTTTGAAACCAACTGCATGACTCAAATATTCTAATTATAGAAGTGACCCTCAGGAAAAAAAAAAAGCCGCATTTCTTGTATCTAACATTCTAATTTTTGCAAAATATGCTACAAAAGGGAAAAAAGCTTTTGTCATCAGATGGTAGTAAGCTATTAACAGTGAAATATTTTCCAAATAAAGAGATTAAAATATGAAAAAATGCACCATCAATTTTGAGTAAATCGAAGTTTAACAACAGTGGAAATAAAAACTAGCTATTTTGGAGAAAACCCATTTAAAAGCAAATACTCATTATCCCCTTTAGATTAACATTAAATTTGCTTTTGAAGAAGGAAAAAGCTCAAGATACAGACTGTACAACCATGGGAGACCAAAATGGGTTTGTCCTTTCAGCCTTACCGCAGGGAACTTAGTTTACCTTAAAGCAATGTCCTTTCTGTATGGACACAGGAAAACAGTTAATATTATGCTTTGAAACTTGGGAGTTGATTGACTCCAATAATATTTACTCTTGGGCATCTGCTCTCAACTCAGTTGCCCTTAGTTCCTAGCACCCCCAAAGCAGGGTCCTGATGAGGGACTGAATGGACCCAGGGCAAGTTGTGAGCTACCCTGGCATCAAAACGGGCAGGTCAAAATGCTACAATATTCAACTATAAGTTGAGAGCATGATCATAGACAAATGCTGTCATGATCCAAAAATCTCTTACTGTGCTCATACAGAATGACATTGCTAAGAAATATTATAAGTAGATTTACTACAACTATTTAAGTGGATTACTAGCTGAGAAAAGAAGAAAGCAGCACACCCTGAATGGGATCCCACCCTTAAGCAGATCTCCTAGTAATCCAGAGTAATCTCTTTAGATGAGATTTTATTCTTGAGTTAATCTCCTGAAGGAGTGGTCCAACCTCTCTTTGCTGATTTGTTAATGTTCAACCCACCTTTGTGTCACCACCCTATGTGATTGCTATATAAACTGAGACTGTAAGAGTGGAGGGGGCCAGAGTCAGAATCCAAGGGAAGAGTCAGAATCTACTGGAGGAGTCAGAATCCAGAGTGAAAGGCTCCAGAGAGAGAAGCAGAAGAGCTCCAGAGAGATCGGAAGAGACCAGAGGAGAGACTACAGAGTCAGAAATATAGAGACAGACAGAAGAGAGCACAGCAGCACACACAGAAGTAAAGCACAAAGGAGGCGCTATCCCAATCCAGTCCATACACAGTAGCTTGAGAGCACTGAACTCTTGGTGGCGGGAGAGAGAGAGAGAGAGAGAGAGAGAGAGAGAGAGAGAGAGAGAGAGAGAGAGAGAGAGAGAGAGAGAGATGTCCTGAGAGCCCGCCAACAACATATCATCTTCGCATCCCTCCTCCGCACATGCGTTAAGATATAGTTTTCACAGCACCAAGCATTTAAATGGCAAATTCTACTTTAGGTACATAATTTCAGCTAATAGATATAATTTCTACGTTGGTGTGTATTCAAATGAAAAGATACATTCTCACCTTCTACCAGGCAGAACAAATGCAAAGGAAAAGGCAGGAGAAGGATCAAGAAATGGAAACAAGACACTAATGTAGCACTGTCCTCCATCGATTTGCTCAAGCGGGCCCAGTAATGTCTCCATTATGAGATTTGTTGTTACTGTGTTTGGCATATTGAAAACGTCATAGGTAGCTTGCCAGGCTTTGCTGTGCGGGCAAGATACTCTCAGTAGCTTGCCAGGTTCTCTGAGAGGGACAGAGGAATTGAACTCGGGTTGGTCGGTTTGGGCCCCGTGCAAGGCAAACGCCCTACCACTGTGTTATCACTCTCTCTACTAAAAGACATTAATAAGAAAGAATAATTTTTAAAATTTAATTTGTTGTTTTGTTTTGTTTTGTAGCCATAGCCAGTGAAGCTCAGGGCTTATTCTGTGTCTGAACTCAGGGATCACTCCTGGCAGTTTTGAAGGACAATACTGGGTACTAGAGACCAAACCTAGGTTAGTCTCATGCAAAGGCAAGCACCCTGTCAACTGTATTATCTCTATAGGCACCTTCCAACTTTTTGTTTTATGCAAGACTAAAAGAAAATTAGGAGGAGACAATGCAAAAGGATGGAGGAGCCCAATATTTGGTAGAGCAGAAAAGAGAACAACCTCAGTATGCTCTGAGGAGGGCTTAATTGACATGAATCATTTGCTGTGCTCATTAGGATAAGCTATTTGGATAAGTAGCTATGATGTTACAATGGTCGCATCCATCTCAGATGAACACTGCCACGATCACTGCCACCATCTTTTATTAGTGCAAACATTTCTGTATGTCTGTCTGGTTGTATACAGTCACTATTACTTAGATACATCCAGATATTTATTCCCCATCCCATCTTCGTGATTCTGAACATTATTCCTCATTATTCCTTTCTGTATCCGGGAACTTCTATCTGGAATTATCTGAGGATTATCTTTTAGCATCGTTTATACCACAGGTCAAACTGACACATTTTTTTCAGCCTTCAAGAGGTGAAAAATGCATTAATTCTTTTTTTTTTTCCCCCTTAAACAGGGACTTAAAAAAAAAAAAAGTCCTGGGGAATAATCAGGACCACACCTGGCACCATCGTGGGGGGTCATGGAGTGTCAGAACTTCAGAACTTCTACCTTCATTTTTGGAGACATTTTCTCTAAGCAGTCCCCCCTATCCACTTTTGTTTCTGGGGATGGGAAATGAGGATAGTCTGCAGTACTTGGGGATACTCCTAAATGTGCTTGGGGTTGCTCTAGGTTTGCTCAGGAGCCGATCCAGTGTCCAGGATCAAACCAAGTTGTGGCAAGCAAGAGAAGTATATTAATCTTTGTACTATCTTTTCCAGCCCCTTCTCTAAACCCTTTAAATATATGCTCTCTGAGCTTCTATTTGCTGTTATTGCTATTAAGTCACAGTCAAATTCTTTTCTGAGAGGGAGGAGTGTGTGAGTGTGAGTGTGTTTGTGTGTGTTAGAGTTAGATTTTTCTAACACTGAGTTAGATTTTTCAGGAGTTTTACTACAATGTACCTAGGTATCATTTTTCTTTTATTTGGGGGATGAATGCCAAGCTGTAACTATTTCCACATAATTGTTTATGGTGCTTCTTGGACAAAAAGTGCTTATGAAACCTGATTTATATATATTTCCATTTTATTCAGACAAAAAGTGCTTATGAGACTTGATATATATATATATATATATATATATATATATATATATATATATACACACACACACATTCCCTTTTTCCTTTTTCTACTCTTTCTTTCCTTCTTTCTCCCTCTTTTGTTTGTTTAGTTTTGTTGTACAGGGCTTATTCCTGGCTCTCTGTGCTCAGCAATCACTCCTGATGGTGTTCAGGAAACCATATGAGGTGCTGGGGACTAAACTTGAGTGCCATATGTAAGGCAAGTGTCTTACCCACTGTAATATTTATCTGGACCCTCATTCTATTTTTTAATGGTAGGATTTGAATGAATATAGCTATCTCCATTTAGGATAAAACAAGATTTTATCTATTTTACAAAATAAGTTTATTATGGCATCATCATGATCACAATCACGATCATCCTGTTTTTCGTCGATTGCCTCGAGCAGGTACCAGTAACGTCTCCTTCGTCCTAGCCCTGAGATTTTAAAAAGTGCCATATTCAAGGCTCTAAATGAGACCCATCATTGTTACTGGAATTTGGCATATTGGGTATGCCACGGGGAGTTTGCCAGACTCTGCTGTGTGGGCAGGTTACACTTGGTAGCCTGCCAGGTTGTCCAAAGCAAGAATGAGATAATAAGATGTCGCGCAGCCACATTTGCAGCCGCGTGCTTCCAGGAGCTGGGTTTTATAGCATCATAATTTTATGGCATCATAATTTTTATAATCATACTATTTTTTATGCTCAGAGGGTAACTGTACCACACATCACCAAAGAGCCAACACCATTCCACCTCTGCCCCCAAAGTGCCTTTGCTTCACCCTTGCTTGGTAGTTTCAGCTCTCAGTTCTGCTGATTGTGAGATTTTATCTTTATCCAGGGAAATTTATGTTCCACAAGGAGATGCCTAGCTCTTGATGAGTAGCCTGATTTTAAGTTCCTTCTCAGAAAAGGATTTCTATATTACTTTTGGTCTGCTGTTGTTTCTCTTTCTGTCTCATATTCTTTCTCTGGGACTCCTATCAATCACATACTACAACTTCAGAGACCAGGGGTACAGATCAATGGGCTCAGCACATGCTTGTATGCAGGCAGCCTTGGTTTAATTCCCTCCACTACAGGTCTGAGCTCCAGCAAGTGAATGCACTAGCCCTTAAGACTGCAAATATTGAAACTCTAAGATTGGTCACATCCTTTTACACAATAATT